GGTAGAGTATATGATTTAGGACTAAAAGTGGAACAGCTGCGCTTATAGTATATATAGATAACTACAGAAGAAAAGTAGATCTATCTATTCTATAAAAAGAAGCTATAAATTAGACAAAAATTTAGTAAAATTCAGAAAATAACTATTAGAACTTAGGCTTATTTTTTCTATATAGAGATATATTTTAACTAAAGTATATTCTTTTTTTAAAGAAAAAGAATAAACTATTAGTATAGTATTTAATTCTAAAAAAAAAAACATATTTGTTCGGAATAACTTTCCTAAACTGGGATAGAAAATTCTAAAAATAGACCTAAAAATCCGATAAATAGTTAGATTTTTAAATCATCAAAAAGTTTCGAAAAACATTGAGAATTGATTGAGTTATTAATTTTTAAACTTCAAATGCCAAAAATTGATATTTTCGTATGGTATATAATAATAGTATATTTTAGAGAGAAAAAATCCTTATAAATTAAAACTAATATATTAGTCTTTGTAATTAGTAGAATACTATTACAGAAGAATTAAAAGAACTAGTAGAAACTAGTAGTAATCTATTTATAGAAGATAATACTTATAGAGTAGAATTATAATATTTATAACTAAGAACTTCTTATAATTATAGAATTATTTAAGAAGTAGTAATACTAGCTAGAGAATATAGAATATTTAATATAGATAATTATAGACTATAAAAACCTCTAGTATTTTATAATAAATAAAAAGTTATTATAAAGATAAGTATAGTAGATCTAATATCTTATAATATTTAAATTCTTTCTTAAGTATAGATTAGGATTATAGAACTCTATAGATATATTATTATAAAGACCTGACTATAATAAGTAGATTATAGAGAAAGACTATAAGAAACTTAGAAAAGTAGTTCTATAGTAGTTAAATAATCTTCTAGAATTAGAGAGAAAAGTAGTTATCTATATAAGAGTTAGAATAATACTAGTATAAGATACTATAAAGAATTTAGAATAGCTAGAGTTCTATATAAGAGTAGTTAAAGTAACTATAAAAGAAAGTATATATTATAAGAATCTATTTGTTATGGATCGTAGCAGAATCAGTCAGGAGGCAAATTCATTATGATGATTATGTTGGTGATGATGATGTAGATGGAAGATAGAAGACGGAAGATGACTCCGTCGAAGTAATGCTCGAAGGCGGATACAACTGGCAGATTTCGACATAGCTGAAATCACCACAGACAGGACCACCACACTATTAACTAATCTACTATAAGAACTACTAGAACTATTATAGATAAATAATCTTATAAAGAAGATCTTCTAGATAAAATAGAAAGATTATAAAAATAGATAATCTAAAGTAAAAGAATATCTATAGAAAAAGAACTACTTATAGTAAAATATAAAATAAGATTTACTATACTTTATAGAAAAGTTATATATTCTAGAGAATTATATACTAAAGTTAAGAATTCTTATAAAGTTATATAATAATCCTATTATAGAGTACTTTATAAAAATAAGAATATAAAAATTAGTATTATAAAGATTCTACTAGCTAGAATTAGTTAGTTTTATAGAAGAGTACTATTATATATATAAAGTATATTAGAATAGATAGATAGTTTATAGAAAGTAATAGAACTTATTAAAATTACTATCTATAGTAGTAAGATTATAGAATAAAGTAATAATAGATTTTATTATAAGTCTATCTATAAATATTTATAAAGATATAAACTTATAGAAGATTTATAATAGTATTATAATTATAATAGACTATTTTAGTAAAATAATATATTTTATTTTTATTTATAAAATACTCTTAGAGAAAAAGTTTAATACTTTTTCTAAGAAAGATTTTTAGATTATATAGTATATTTATAAAGATAATTATTAATTAAGAATTAGTTTTTATAAGAGACTTTTAATTAGATTTTATCTATATTCTTATAATTAAGTAGAGACTAAGGACTGTCTATTATCTATAAATAGATAGATAAATAGAGAAGTTGAATAGTATACTAGAATAGTATCTATAAAACTATATTAACTTTAAATAAGATAATCAGATAGAGATATTACTATTTATAGAGTTTATATATAATAACTTTCTATAAATATCTATTAAGTACTCTCTATTCTTTATAATAACTATATAATATCTATAGATAATTATACTAGATTTATAGATTCTAGATAACCTAACTTAGGAGTTAATAGACTATATCTATAAAATTAGAGAAGTAAAAGATTAGATAGCTATAAATCTAGAGTAGGCTTATAAGTACTAGAAGAACTTCTATAATAGAAGTTATAAAGTTATTATATTTATAGTAGACTAGAAGATATAGCTATCTATAAAGAATCTACTATAAAAAAGACTATATAAGAAATTAGATTAATACTACTAAGAACTATTTTATATGATAGAAAGAATAAATAAGTAGATCTACTATATAAAGCTACTAGCTGACTAGTAAGTATATAATATATTCTATATCTTACTATTCTATAAATACTATACTATAAAAGATATAGATTTATAAGAATATTTCTTATAAGAGAATAGAAGCCCTAAAGACTATAAGTACTATATAGAGATATTAATAATCTTATAATACTATAAGAGAATTACTAAGATATTAGTAAAATAAAAAGACTACTATAATAATAAGAATATATAGAAATCTACTATAAATCTATATTATTTATAAATATATAAAGAATTTAAGTCTTATAGATATAAAAAACTTAATTAATAACTAAGAAAAAGCTAATAACTATATATAAATAATATATTATCTATAATTATATATTCTTTATATCTAATATAAGTTATAGTACTTACTTATAAAGACTAGAAGCTAGAATGTATAAGAGTATAGCTTTATTTTATAAGAGAATAGTACTTACTATCTATATATAAATAATTATTATACTTCTAATCTATTTCTCTATTAATATAGTTATAGAATATTCTTCTAGAGGAGAAGTTATAGTAGTATTTATATATCTAGTTAGATAAAAACTACTAGCCAGTCTAAGATATAAGAATATTCTTATAGAGCTAGATCTAAATAGTTAATTATCTAGGATTTAACTATCTAATATATAGTATAGATTATATAATAGACTTATAGATCTAGATCTACTTATAATCTGATAGGGGCTGTAAATCTATTTAGAAGAAAAGACTAGATACTATAGTAGATACTATCTCTAAATAATCTATAAATTAGACTATAGAAGGATAGCTTAATAAAGAGAGAGATATTCTACTCTTTATTAATAATCTATTTATAGAGTATCAGCTGGTTCTATTAAGTCTTAGATATATCTATAGAAGATAGAAAAGGTCTAAGAAGTAGAAGAATAGGAGCTACAAGGACTACTATAATATTTACTATTATTAAGATTATCACCCTGTTTCCCCTTGTATATATTATAGTATATAAGAAGAGGGTAATGGCGGCAACAGTCGCGGGGCCGGGGCCAGGAGCAGGAACAGCGGCGCTTGTGGTGGCGGCAGCAGTGGTAGTAGCAGCAGCAGCAGTAGTAGTAGCAGCAGTTGTAGCAGGGGCGGCGGCAGCAGTGCTCGCAGGAGTAGGAACAGGAGTAGTAGCAGTAGTAGTTATGGGGGTGGGGGCGGTTTCTTTAACCCCCTTAGTAAAGGGGGGGAGCTTATATAGTATTAATTACTATTAGTTAAGTCTAAAAGAAAAGAATTATAATATCTATCTAGACTAGAGTAGAAGTAGTTGTAGAAGTAGTAGAAATAAATAAATTATAAAAAAAAGCTATAAAAGTATATTAGAAATATCTTTATAAGAAAAGAAAAAAAGATATATATATTTTATTAAGAAAGAATTATTATTTATAAAAGTTAATAAAGAAGATTAAATTAGTTAAGATTATTAAAATTTATAAGAATACTAAAGCTTATAAGACTACTAAAGTTTATAAGAATATTAAAGCTTATAAGAATATTAATACTTATAAGAATACTCTACTAGTAGCTTATAGTATTAAAAAAGAGAATAATATATAAGAGAATTTATACTAAGAAAAAGAGAAAAAGATTTAAAAAAAAAATCTTAATAAAAGAAAAGAAAGTCTTCTTATATAATAGAAGATTTTTACTTTATAAAGTTAGCTCTACTAGTCTTAACTTTAAAGTAGATTAGATAGTCTAAATGAATAAATTAAGAGAGATTTAATACTATTTACTAGAAAAGACTTATCTTAATTATAGAAGAGAAATAGACCTAGAATATTATAAAAAAAGTAGACTAATAGATAATAAACTATATACTAGAGGAATAGGCTATATAATATATTATTTATAAAGATAAGAAGAAATAAAACTATCTTTTCTATTACTCTAGTTTTCTATAAGTAGTATTTATAGAAAGAAGATTTTAATAGTATTATTATAAGAAGTAATACTTCTTTATAAAAAAAGAAGAATACTTATAAAGATTAGAAGAGTTCTAATCTTTATAAGTAGTTATAAAGAGAAATCTATATAGTAGATCTCAGATACTAGTTATATAATAGCTAAGTAAACAAGTCATGATTTCTTATTTAGAGAGGTGGGTGACTTATAGATTAGATAGATCAGCAATAACACCTTAAGGCAATCAACTGGCATCTTTGGCCTCACAAGGCTATTTGTTCATCACGCTATTTCACTATCTTAGCCCTTATAATATCCCACTCGGCCGCGTTCAATACGTGGCTTGAGTACGGCTGAGCGGACGGGAAGCCCTATTTTCCACACCCTGTGGTCGTATGTACTTATCCTTTATTGATTGACAGCACAACTCACGAGCTATACGCTTGGTGTCTTCAACCGTTGTACTGCATGCAGTCCGGGGGGTTGCTCGTTCCGCACGGGCTCGGTTCCCAGCTGTCTCAACATTTCCATGTACACCTCAAGCACTAACAATCCGCCCCAGCATAACAACACGCAAGAAAAAGTACTGAAACACAAGGGGCCATACCACAACCTCACTAACCCATAAACTCTACCCGCAGAAACGCCTCCTCCACCCCCACCAACCCCTCCACCCCCAGCTCCTCCACCCCAACGACCTCCTCCCCGACCTGGACAAACGACCGCCCATCCGTGAGCTGGAAGTAATAATGCGAGACATCCATCAACTCCGCCAGGCCAGGCCACAACCTCCGATACTCCTCCCGGGCGATCCGCACACACCGAACCGCAACCCCCTTGACCCTCCCAAACGCCGCCACCACCTCCCCCAACGCCCGGTACTCCGTGACCGCGCTGACGACGCGGCCCGGCAGGGTCTTGGCCGGCTGCTGCAGCACCGCCCGCACCACCAACCCGACATTGACCCGCTCATCGCCGACAAGCGGGATCCGGGTGGCGGGATCGATATTCGTCAGGGTGAGGTACCCGGCCGTGCCGCACACCGCCATGGGGTGGAAGCAGGGGAGGAGCATGTTGGCGCTATACCACCCCACCCAGAGGAAGGTCGTTTTGGCGAGTAAGGCCGGGAGGGTGTGGATGAACGCGTCCACCTGCTGCTTGCTCTGGTAGTACGGGACGACCGCCGCCCCCGCGGAGTTGGTCGCCGAGTCCGGCAGCGTCGACCACACCAGGTGCTCGAGGGAGGGGGTGGCGGCCGCCGCGGTGGCGATGTTGATGCCCAGCTGCGTCTCCAGGGCCATGGCGGCGGCCACGGCGTCGTCGTCGTCGTCGTGGTGGGTGGACAGGCCGGCGAAGAAGTTGGTGACGGCGAAGATGGCGTGCGTGCCGGCGAAGGCGGCGGTCAGAGCGGCGGGGTCGTGCAGGTCGGCGCGGAGGAGCTGCACCCCCTTCGCGGCGAGGGATTGCGCGGCGCGGCTGGAGGGGTTGCGGGTGATGGCGCGGATGGTGTAGTTGGTGTGGAGTAGGGCGGAGACGACGGAGCCGCCTTGGGTGCCGGTGGCGCCGATGATGGTGATTATTTTGGACATGGTGTACTACTGGGGGGATGGGTTACTGGGGGAGGTTAGACTACGGGGAGAGTGTTGGGTTTTATATTGTGTTATTCAAGGGTGAAGTACAGTAATCTTCGTGTTAGGGCATTATTCAGCCCTGCGGAGATGGAAGCGGAGCTGCGGGCAAAAGTGGGGCCGCAGCCGCAGCCTTAGCTTCTCCCCCATTGCAGTTGGTCTGTACTGTCTCTGTAGTAAATCGTACATACGAATATCCCCCTCAATACATCTTCGACCCCGTCCGCACCCCCGTCGACAGCCCCCGCGCATACGCAACCTCCCTCACAAGATTCATCAGCATCAAATCACACCCCCCCGCCCCTTGGATCTCCAAGGTGGCCGGAAACTCCTCCTCCACCAGCGAGACCCGGCTGAGATACGGCACCGCCCCCACGGGCACCGCCACCTCGGGACTCTCGTTCATCACCGAGAGATAGTTCCAGCTGATATTCCCCGGGAGCGCCGGGGTGCTGCCCCGCACGGTGTACGTGATGTTGCTGTCGCGGTACCACGGGGCCCCGCCGTTGCCATTGAAGGGAAAGACCACGAGGGCGTCGGAGCAGGTCCGTTCGTTGGCCGCGAGGAAGTATGTGCGGTAGAAGGATTGGAAGTCCGCCTGCAGGGTGCGGCCGATCTCGCCGAGGGTGGCGTTCTGCGCGGTGAGGGAGGGGTCGCTGGCTGCGTTGAGCCTGGTGTAGGGGTAGCGACCGAATTTGGCCAGGTAGTCTTGCGTGAAGTGCAGGGAGAAGGGGTTGGTTCCGGAGACGTAGGGAACCAGCTTTGTTTGTTTGTGCATGTTGAGTTAGTCCCGAGCTGGATAGGATACAATCTAGCGACTTACGTTCGCGAAGTAGTCGGCCAGGCTCACATTCCGCCCCGAGTATTCATGCCACAGCGCATTGCTGTCGACTATCGTGCGGTTCACACCGAGGAAGGCTTCCAGATGCTGGAGGTACGCTTCGCACGGCGCCGTGTAGTTGGGATTGAGGTTCGCCCAATACTCCCGAGGATAGATGAGCTTCTGGGGGAACTCGGTGTAGTTCCTGTAGCCGGACGGGCCGTACATGACCGCCCCAAAGGTGTTGAAGGCGTCGACTTCGCGGGCAAAGTGGCCGGCCACGTCAAAGGGTCCGAACGCGGTGGCGGTGTTGTTGGTGCTGTTCTTCGTGGAGCGGATCCCGTACACGCCGTTCAGCGCCGCCGGAAAACGCATCGCTAGCGGGGTACAGATACAGCATTAGCCAGATACTTGCAGAGAGTGGTCGTCCGGATTGCCACTCACAACCCCCCGTGTCTTCCCCGATGGTGATGTCGAGCCAGTCGTATGCGGCGAGAGACGCCCCCGAGCCCGCTGACGAGGCGCCCGGGATCAGGTACGACTCGCCGCGAGGATTCTATCTTGGTCAATCTTGCGGCAGCACTAGCCTCGTGAGCGTGGCACGTACGAAAGGTAGAGAATAATCGGGCCACTCGGCGATGCTGAACCATGGCTTCGCGAACACAGACAGCTTGGTTTTGCCGACAACGATGGCGCCCTTATCGAGAAGGTGCTGGATGACCCCAGATGTCGTATTAGCAGGCGGATAGGTGGCGGCGTAGGAGCGACTCCCAAAGGTCGTGATGAGACCCTTCATGTCGTACTGATCCTTGACGCCGATGCGGTAGCCCGCGAGCGGCTGCTCGGGGGTAGGCTTGTAGAACAGCCTCGATGGGACGGCAATGGACAGGGCTCCGTATGGACTGCTGCCGCCGGCAGGGAGGACTTCGTACGTGCTGGCATCGCTGGCAGATGGGATGGTAGACAGGACAAAGGAGCTGGTGTAGTCTTCGTACAGACGCCAGGCGCGGTGGAGGCCCGAAGAGGTCACAAAGTAGGGACCATCTGGAAGCGTGGTGTTGGATGGCGACAGAGCCCAGAAGATGTGGCTGGTTCCGAGTCGCCTTAGCAAGTCCTCTGCCTCGTCGCCGAGAGCGAGACCTTCCGGGCCCTGGAAGTAGAACCCTAAGGAACGTCAGTTGTGGCCGTCGGCAGGCATGAGGAATCTAACCCTCGAAAAATCCATTGGTGTACACATCATCGCGAATCAAGAAATCGGAAACAGTGCTGTTAATCCAGGATGCAGTAATGGTAGCATCGGGTGATGTGAGAACAGTGACCGGAGATGCGTCCCGGACATCGAATTTACGTGCCAACTAGAGACAGAAGTTGTCAGGTCTTAGTACTTAGAAGTCTGAATATCTGAGATGAGTGGACGTGGTGCACATGCAGAGAGCATACCTCGATCTTGGAGGGAATGTAGTATTGTACATCTACGAGGTTTACAACACTCGATGCTGAGGCGCAAATGGGAAGTGCCGCCAGAACGAAAGCGTCGGGACGCATTGTGTTGGAAACTGCAGACCCTCGAACCCGTTTGTGCGAGGTGAGAGATGGTGCGTGCAGGCACTCACTCCAATTATATATGCCGGCCCTTTGATCCTATTGGCCTGGAAATGGTAAAGATAAAGTATACAGAGGCGGGTTCCTTCCCAGGCTTTCCCTGTTGTGATCTGTACTCTTTGCACAATCACAAAGCGAATATCCATGCCGCAGACTGATAAACTTGATGTATCTGACAGCCTTGCTCAGAAATATCATCCACACATAACAGTATTCAACTGGGAAAAGGTAATCCGGTCAAGATGCCAAGAAGATCAGCGGCGGAATTCCTACATCCGCCTTTATTGACAACGTGCTGATACCGCCAATTATCTGAGCTCGTGTACATTGGTGAGGTTATGCCTCAGCATGCACAAGGGAGGCACAAGGGGGCTACATGAATTCTCTTGCTCTATCATTCTTGACGCAATCGCTGATCATACGGGAGGCGGTGGGTAAGAGGGGTACTTCTGGTAGGCTAGACGAAGTACTGATCGATTCCCATGGCCATACCCTACCATGCATCTCTTATAAAACGATAGACCCACAGGATAACGACCTGTACTCAGTCCCCCGAAGATAATCTACGCCACCAACACCCCCAATTCCTCAAACGCCTCAGCAGCCTCCAGTCCCTGACACGGAACAATCAGCAATTTCTCGAACCGATCCAGCCGCCGTGGCATCGAAACCAGCCAACGCGCTAGGAATGCCTCGTACGGATGCGTCTCTACCGCCTCCCACTGCGCACACTGTAGTTCATCCCGACCTCCCCAGTCCCCCCTCTCATCCCAAGCAGATACCCCCGCCGATAGGGGCAGTTGCCGCAAAGTATGCAATCCCACACAGATACCCTCTTTATAAACCGAATTTACCCCATAAAGAAAGTAAATCAGAAGCGCCGTGCGCCGAATACACTCGCCCAGAGCCCAATTATACCGGGTCTTCGGCCTTTGAAGCTCAGGCTCGGATTGCGCGCTGACGACGAGCTTCAGCGCGGAGGTCATGAGGACTGACCCCTGTTGCTCGGCGCTGATGCGCTGCTGCAGGTTGCCGTGGAAGAGACGGAGGGTCTGGCAGAGCAGCAGTGCCTGTAGCCGCGCGAGCTCGCTGCGGAGCGCCGCGAGCCTCGAAGGAGCAGCAGCAGCGGCAGCAGAGCTCAAGCCCAAGCTTGGTTCGGTGGGCTTGAGTAGCTCGAGGACTTCATGTTCGAGCACGCGAAAGGTCATCTCACGGTTGGTCTCGGTGAGGAGAGAAAACGAGGAGCAGACGCCAAAGGCTGTGCGGATGGGCTGTGGCACCTCGTCGCGGTACAGATCGCGGTGGATGAAGATGGTCTCGCCCCGGTGGGCGAATTCCCGGGGATACGATTTCAGCTCGTCCATCACCCATTGCCAGGACCGCGTGGTGCCTTGCATCGGATGGACTTCGCCGAGTGTGCCGACAAGCTTTGAGGTGGCCGAGAAGGAGATGTACTCGGGCATGAAGTCTGGTGTGGATTCCGGGGGAAGCTGTAGCCGTAGGTCTTGTCCGAATGACCTGGGGTAAGCGACGACAGATGGCTCCAAAAGCTCCAGGGCTAGACCGGTGGTGGTCGCATCGTGGCTCATTGTGGGCGAGGCGGCTGCTTCGTCCGGCGCAGTTGGTGGCTCGCCGGTGCGCTTCGCTGGGCTTGGTGGGTATGCATATCGACAGTCTTTCTTTGTGTTCCTACAGTTCTCACAGACTGGATATGCAAGGTTACACTTTCTTCGACCCTTGAAGCAGGCGTTGCAAGACTTGCGTCGTAGCGACATGATTATGATAGTGATGATGATATGTAGTTGGTGGGGATGTGGCGGAAGTGACGGATCCCGAAGACGAGGCTGACATCCCGTAAGGAGGCACGTGCCAGCACTACTATATTTTATATGGTGGTTAGTAAGGAATAGTCACCAAAGTCTAGGTTTTAATATTGACGGTCACCTGCTCAACGACAAACTCATCGAGTCGAGCAGAGCAGACAGGACGCCCGATTGACTTTGTCTTTCCCTTTCGCTACTCTCCACAGAGATCTCAAATGGCACCCACAAGGCACTGTTTCTGCCACTCACATAACGACCGCCACAGCGATCATTAACGTTGGCCTCACCGACCCAGTCGGATTGAGGTGTGTTGACGGGCGGAGGGGGTGAAGGTGTATCTGTAGGGCTGGAGACTGAAAGTCCGTCGGTAGGTGTAGGGAATGGAAGCGAGTTTGTGACGACAACAACAACGAAAGGAGCCTCAACCCCCACAAGCAGGGAAGGGCTGACACCGAACTCGTCGTCCCACAGGTTCGTCTGTGCAGAGAATGTCTACGCCCCAGGCGCACTTGTGCTGGGACAGATGTTCGGTTCCAGATGCAATGGCTCGACTCGCAGGAGGGGGATTCGTTCTTATTGGAGCTCGAGTGATGCATTCCATCCTTCTTTGAGTCTCAATTGGTTCAATGTCATTAGTTCTCGTAGGATAATGGGAGGGGCCCATCCAGGACTCAAATTAGGGCTAACTCCCGCCGACGTTGTCCGCTTCTATAGTGTTTGGTACGTTGAAGACTGCTGGTGACAAAACTGTACCAGAGAATAACGCTTGATTATATGTCTATACTCGTCACTCATATCTAATAAACAGAACAGAGAATCTATCTATGTACAAGGTGGCTTCGTCTATCGAACCCACATTAACTCATTCCACCCCCCGAGGCACACGGCAAACCGCCCGCGCCTCCGCGGGCATCGTCTGCCACAAGACCTGCCGCACCTCCTGCCCGACCTGATCCACCGCATCCATCGCCCACAGCACATCCAGATGCTCGTAGTCCTCGATCACCTTGGCGTGCACTAGCCGGACATGCGGTTCACGGCCCTTGCGCAGCCGGTCGAGAAACTGCTGCCCGTCGACGAGTTTATCGGACCCGGCGATCCACAAGGCGATCGGGGGCACCTGCGGCCCATACCAGGCGGTGTCGCGCCGAGGCGGCGTCGAGTCGTCGTCGCTCGGGCGCCGGTCCTCCTCCCTCTCCGCCAGGGTCGACTCCTCGGTGGCGAGAATGCATTTGTGGTGGGCGAAACACCCGTGGCCCAGCCACCAGCGCATGGTTTCCGCGCTCACATAGACCGGGGCGAACTGGAACATGCGGTCGCGCAGAGCGCGATCCCAGCGCGAGTCGTCCCAGCCGAACAGAAACGAGAAGACATAGTACCCGAGGGCGCCGTAGATGCGCGGATGCAGGCGCCGATGGACGGTCATCATGAACGGGATGAAGGAGTGGATGCCGAAGAAGGCGCGGAACATGCGCGGCGGGATGATGCGCATGAATCGCAAACACACGCGGTCAATGAGTGGCCCGGCGTACACGGCCGGCGCCAGCGCACAGAAGACGGAAATCCGCTCCCCCAACTCGGGCCGCTGGTCCTTGGCAAGCGCGATGAACGTTTCCGCAGTGCCCTGGGAGTGGCAGGCGAGGCCCAGCTGGGCAAACCCCGTCTCGTATAGAACGCGGGACACGAGGGCCGGCAGATCCAGCACGCCCATCTGCTGGATGTTCCAGGCCCACATGCGGGGGTCGGTCTCGCGAAGAGTGGTGTGTTCGGGCGTCATCCCACAGCGATTGTTGCCCAGCCAGACATCATAGCCGGATTTGCAAAGAAAGAATGCCAGGCTGTCGTCATCATTGGCACAGAAGGCGCCAGCACTTTGAAGCAACCCGTGCATCAACAAAACCGGGTACTTGCGCGGCGCCGAACGCTGGAAGACCGCGGGGTTTGTCTCTCCGGTGAACACTTGCGGCCCGCGAGGTCGACGATCTTTCGCGGGCAGCGGAGTGGACTCTTGCGGATCGTAGACGTGCCAGAGAGTGAGCACAAAGCCGTCTTCCGTTTGGACCTTGAAGGTCTCCACGTCCAATCCCACACGGCGGGCATAATACGCCACGTCGCAGACGATGGGGTCCTTGCCACCCTCCAAAGGCGGACAGTCGTCCCGCCCTTCCTCATTGACCTCCTTCTCCTGGCGCGAACTCCACCGCCGCAGCGCCCTGCGTCGCTCCGTGCGCCGTGACCGCTCTTCCGCGGAGAATTGGCTCCCCTCGCGCGGATTTTGGCCACGTCGGCCGCGGTGCGACGCGGTGAACGCTTTGACGACCGTTTGCACGATGGCGGCGATCATGACGGTGGCCAGAAAGAGAAGCGACAGGACGAATGAGACGCCGCGAATGAGCAGAAATTGCAGCGAGCAGACCAGAGAAGGTGGTCCGTAGGACGGGAGCGGTGGAAACAGCGGATGTGACGCCCGTGTCGATACGGTGGTGCTCATCTCGTCGTCCCCGAGCAATCTGTCGGTGACTGTAGCCGAATCTTTGTCGCTGTCCAATGTTGATCCCAGGTCTTGCATTTCAACAGCCTTGGGTGATGAACGATCCCCGCGGAAGCCTCGTTCATAGTGTTGTTGTTCGATGGATCCGACTTGGACGGCGGTGCTGAAATAGTGGGCTTTATTGTCGTCAAGGCCGGGGCCCGGATCGGGGCCCCGGCTGATCCTGACCGATGGGCCTAAGGTCTCACCGTCTGCGTCGGACGAAAGAAACATGATATGGTCAGGGGATGTGATTAGATACCAGCGACCACATTGTCACAAGACCAGAAGAAAAAGAAAAGAAAAGAAAAAAGAACTAGGAGGGTCAGAAGGGGGAGGAAAGGGGGTTAAGGAAGAGGATAAACGAGAGGGGACGATCGGATCGGCAATTGAGGCGCAGGTGACGATGGCAGATGGTGTGAAAAGAAGGAGAGATGATGATGAAATGGCGGGGAGGGGAAAAGAGCGGAAAAGTGGAGAGAACTGCCGCTTTAAGCAATGAAGGGAGACGAACAGGTGGTTGTAATCACGTGATACAGGGGTGGCGCGTCATCGCGTGGGGCGGTGGCACCCAATCATCGCCGCCTTAGGCGTCATACTGCCGTGATGTCTTTGGAGAACCACAAGTAGTCACCAGGTACTACGAAGTAAAGTTGTGAGTAAAATTACAGTTGACACATTTGACACTTATGACTCTTATGACACGTAGTAGTAGTAGTAGTAGTAGTAAATTTTGACCTATTCATAACACATGACATGCTTCAATCGCTGCGCTGCCCAAAACCACCATAATGCTCGTAATATACAGGAGGAAGAAATCGTTGCAAATTAAGAATCCCAGAGTTCATCCCAGACGCCAGAAAGAAAGAAAAAAGATTCAGATCAATCAAAAAAGAATCGCTCCGATCTAGGCGGACTCGATGTGCTCGTGTTGACGCTTCATCTGAGCATCGTGCTCCAACTCCCCCAGAGTGCCATGGGCCTTGCCCTCAGCCACGTCCCGAACATCGGTGAAGTGCACCGAGGGCACAAAGCCAGGCGAGCGCCAGGCCGAGGAGACCTTGGCGTACAGCTCATCGACCTGCTCCAGGGACAATCCTTTGGTCTCGTAGATGCAGGCGTACACGAAGACACCCGCGATCAGACAGAAGCCACCCCAGATGAAGAACACCTTGGACTGGAGGTTGGCGTTACCCGGACCGGAGTCAACCATGTAGGGAGTGGCGTAGGCAATGGCCCAGTTCAGGAGCCAGTTGGAGGCAGTGGTGATGGACAAGCACTTGGCGCGAGCCTTCAAGGGGAACAGCTCGCCCGTCACCGTCCAGGCGGTGGGACCCCAGGTGGACGCGAAGAAGAAGATGTAAACACAGACAAAGGCAATCAACACCTTGTTGGCGACTTCCGAGGAGGTGGCTGTGCCGACGATGGCGACAATGAACTGGCAGACACACATGCCAACGGCTCCGAACAGCAGCAGAGGACGACGACCCCACTTCTCCACGAGCCAGAGACCGGGGAAGGTGGAGCACACGTTGACGATGTTGGTGATCAAAGTGATGGTGAAGCTGTTCTTGATGCCCGAGTTCTGGAAGAAGGTGGTTCCATAGTAGACTAAACGCGCGGTTAGACATGATCGATGACAGGGATTGACAGGAAAAGACCTACAGATGAAGTTCACTCCAGACAGTTGCTGCAGAGCCTGGACCAAGCAGCCCGTGAGCAGACGCTTGCCCAGGGTGCCACGGAAGATGTCGCCGAAGCTGGCCTTGCCAATGCTGAGCTCGTACTCGTGGTTGGCCTGGATCTCGGAGAGCTCCTCCACGATGGAAGGGTGGTTGACATCGAGCCGGCGGAGACGAGCAAGGGCCTGGGCGGCAGCCTCGTGGCGGTCGTGCTTGACCAAGAAGCGGGGAGTTTCCGGAAGAACAAGCATACCCGTCACCAGGATGATGGCCCAGGCGAACTGGATAGCAATGGGAATGCGGTAGCAGCCGGTGTCCATGCGGTCCTTGGTGGAGTTGTTGACAATGGAGGCGAGCAGAAGCCCAATGGTGATGGCCAGCTGGTAGGCTCCGACAACAGTACCACGGATCCACTTCGGAGCTGTCTCAGATTGGTACAGGGGAACTGCATGATCACCGTTAGTGCTGGGGTCGAGAATCGAGAATCACGATCATGAAATCGGGGAGAGACATACCGGTTGCGGAGAGAAGACCCACACCGAAGCCAGCAAAGAATCGACCGGCCACAAACAGGGGAATGCGGGTGGCGGCCGTCTGCAAAATAACACCGAAGCAGAAGACCAAGGAGTCCAAGATCATGGCCAGGCGACGACCGAAGCGATCGGCCACGGGGGCGGCGCACAGGGCACCAAAGAAAGTACCAGCCGACAAGAGGGAGACAATCATAGAAGACTGGGAGGATGTGATATCGGGAAGGCCATCCTTGGGGTTGATGTAACCAGTGGAGAACATCTCACGCCACTTCTTCATGGCGATGATGCCACTGATGGTGCCCGTGTCATAGCCGTAGAGAATACCTCCAAAGGCGGCAAACAGGCCAACAATGATGGCAGGGGCTGCCGAGCCCGCTGCCTCTTCAGGCTTCTTCAGCATCAAACCCATGGTAGATTGATCGGGGATCGGATCAATAGAGGGGGTGGTGGGAAGGATGTGTTGGTCAATAGTCGATGATAGATGTTGGTTCACCGCAGAGGATAGAGAGCAGTCAAGGGGCAGTGTTGTTGAGGTGAATGGAGATGTAGATGTAAATGTAGATGTAGATATAGAGGGGGTCACGTGAGGATCAATTGAGCAGTTGTGAAACAGTTGATATAGAAGAAGATGATGATGGAGAAGATGATGGAGATGAAGATGAAAAAAAAGTCAATCAAGCTGGGGAAATCACGAAGCTTTTGTAGTGCGCGGGGGGTCGAGGCCGAAGAGTCTGGTCAACCTTCAATGACCCCAGATCCGGCCGGCCGGGGACTGCTGACAGACCGGAATTGATGTCGACCAGCACAGCCCGGCATAGAGCCAGGGCCAGGCCACGAGACCGAACATTCTTTCCCCCGCGTCGTTTGTCAGGGCCTTCCCCGAGTCTGGAGGAGAGTGGAGAGGTCGGTTAGCACTCCAGATCGAGTCAAGACACGAGGCCAGGCCGACGATCGCCCACCTTCAGTGTTCGGGACTAGTCCCGAGAGAGAACGTTGACCGGGGGGACTCGAAGCCGACGGGGTCAACCAAGTGGCTCTCGGCGGTGCCCGAGGGGGAGTAGTTGCCAGACCATCTCAGACATCGGGATCGAGGCAGGCCCTATTTTGCTCGAGTGAATGTATGTGTATGAGTGACTTGGATAATGTGTTGCAATGAATGTAATCCCTCTCTGCTAAACACTGTAGTGTACAATACAGTAGAAAATCCTCCCGAGTCAACAAGACGTGAAACCGGCCCTAAACCCGGGAACGGCGAGACACAAACAATCAAAATAACCCTGGTTGACCGCATTCGGGTAGCCGGTTTGACTTTTCCCCCATCCCGAAGCAGCTCCCAACAACAACAACAAAATAACTACGGAGTACCCTGTAATCCAGCTAGCACCCAATTCGGAAATTTTCACGGGGATTTTGCCCGAACTGTCAAGGTGTCAGTCCAATCACCAGATCACAAGATCACCAAAATCTCTTCCCCAGACCCGGCGGGCCTGGGGGGGGAAAACTGAAATCGCAACCACCCCTATCCTGTTTGGAGTCTAGCGGGGCAATCTAGACACTAAACTAGCCTCAATTGCCTCAGCCACAGTACCCTATACCAGTTCTTCCCAACCCTGAACCACGGCTCACCCGATGATTCAGGAGATTTGTCCCAGCAGATGCAGTACGGTCAGAGCCGAACCTACCACCAAAACCACTCACCGGGAACCCGACACGGCTTAGACCCTGTCTCGGTCCCGACAGTCTTTGATTCTCGGCGACTCAGCTCGTGGCTGGCCCTGCGGAGAAAGAACTTTTTTTTCTTCCCTTTCACGGAGTACTTTGCCACATGACCAACATTTCCTCTCGCTCGATCATCCCCAGATTTTTTCTCGGTCTAGATGCGTGACACCTGCAGACTGCCGAACTCCCACGAGGGGAGCGTGATGCTATTTTCAGATCCCCCGAATATTCAAATACTATCAAGGACTAAGTTAACAACCAACCTCTGACTAATGGAATTTCAAGCAAGACACACCAAGAGTCACCAAGAGTCAACAAGCAACAACACCCGAGAAGAAAAAATAAAAAAACTCTCTCCACCCCCGAGCCGACAGGTTATCGGAGGGCGGACGGGATTTGCTACCGTCCTGTAATTGCCAGCCCCAGGGCCAAGACTATTCCCAGCGAATGGCATCGGGCATTTGTGACGAAGGTGCCGTGCCGCACGTATCCTTCCACTTCCCCAGGGAGAATAAGGTGCGCCAATGGGATTGTTTGGGCAGCCACTGAGCAGCCACGGAGCATGAGAGAAGGAGTGATCGTCCTCCCCCGCGGGACCAAGTTAAAACACAAACACGAGATCCGGGGAGGGCGCAACGTCATCTTCGTTCTTGCGGTGTGGGAGGGGAAGTCTGGTTATCGTTCCCGGTTTCAGGGTTTGAGGGGATTGGTTTAATACGGGATGGTCGTGTTGTCGAGTTGGATAGTCTCTCTGGGAGGACCGGAAGAATGTGGAGATATTGAGGGGAAGCAGTGATTTCCTGGCCTGGCAAGGATATTGGGCTGGTTTTCGTGAACGACTCGCTAATGAAGAATGAAGACATACTATTGTGCTAGTTCGTTAAAATGGTATTTATGTAGAAGAGGCCAACTTGGGGCAAAATAGCTCATATGGCTACTAGAGTCGTTCTCGTAAAGGCACTGATCCTGGTTGGGATTATGTAGACTAGTATTTATATACAAACCAGGAAGCTGGTCGTCAAATTAGGCAGCGTAGACTACAAGGATAATACCGTGAAAACAGAAAGATATTCGAGGAGTTAAGCGCAAGAGAGAATAGATCATGGAAGAAGATATGGTGCTACAACTCAAGCCTTCTGACTCCTGGTTGTGAGGGTATCTTTGATCCCATACATACATCCACAGTACTGAGCCAACATTCGAGAATCAGGATTTCTGCATCTGTGCACGAATCATTGAGAAAGGTGTTTTACCATATATACAGCTCACTAAGAACAACAAGCACATACGACCACAGGGTGTGGAAAATAGGGCTTCCCGTCCGCTCAGCCGTACTCAAGCCACACGCCGGGAGGTTAGTAGTTGGGTGGGTGACCACCAGCGAATCCCTTCTGTTGTATGTTTTTCTTTTGGTCCATACATCTAATGGAGGGTGGGTTCTTTACTATACAGTTCATCGAGTAGACATCCTTTCTAGAGATCGTGGGGAGAAGAAGAAGGTGAAATGATTGTATCAGAACTGGTGCCAAACATGGGTATCAATCTTTGCACTTTCACCGAATCACCAAGGCTGCACAGCCCTGCCAATCAATGGTGTTGACCATGTGATTCTCCTTTCGAAGATATCCCGGAGTGTAGGTCGGAATGCCAAAGTACACATCCGTCTTGACTGGGATGGGAGGGTATCAAATGAGGGCAAACTGCCAGTTACTTGTCGAGGAGTTCAATCTGTCAATCAGGGGACTCCTGGCTACCTGACTGTCTTAGGGAGACATCGTCGCCACCCTCAATATCCGGTCCATAGAACAAGCTCCCGGAAACCCCGAAGTCGACAGCGGCTATTTGGGTTTAGAGACTTGCCAAACAAGACCCCCTCATGTTAATATACTCAACTACCATCGGTTGGTCCTTTTTACCACCCCACGCAAGGACGCGGGACAGGTACGCCCAGATCGTTACGCAGAAAGTCCAGCGTAGCGACTTCTCCGGCAATGCTGAATTTCCGAGGGTTGTACGGATTGGGGATTTGCGCAATGACTTGGATTCCATCATCCAGAGTCAAGAGAAAGGGTTGTGTTGTGTGAGCCTCCTTCGGGGAGTTCTGTTATGTTGATGCGGGATTCCGCATTCACTGCTATGGCCGCTGTTTGGTTGAGTGTCTCGACGTTGAAGGCCTGGTACCGTTTGCGGAGCTGGGCTGCCTCGTTCCAGAGCTAGCGTCCGCAGGTGTAAAGAGAAGAGAGTTCGTCTCTATCTTGATCTGAGTGAAGTATACCTTGAAGAACAAACTCGGTAGAACATCTACCAAATGTATTCACTGCGCGGGGGAGGGGTTGAATTCGTCAAGGATGTTAGCGGAATAAAGCATGCGATGAAATCGCGGAAGTGTCGCCTTAATAACTCTTCGCGGAGTCGCTTGAGGCGCCGCTAGGACGGCTTGGATGTTCTTGGATCATCTTATCTTGTTGAGTATGCGGTGACTATCTCAAAATCACCCTGCAAATGATGGATTGCTGGGATTCTCGGCGCCTATGTTGCTCAGTTTACCTCCCCAGCCGCACCGTTGCTTGCCAGACTATACCTCCCATGCACAATCCCTCAATCGTATCTATCATATTTTCTACGGGGTGATTATAATCTCCAAATATCCAAGTAGTAGCTCTCACAGAGAACCATCTGGCAGCTTGCAACCCTACATCACCCACTCTCTTGGGGGTCCTCGGTATATATCCTTGGTCAACGTAAAGCGATCTATTCGTGTCGCAAGGAAGAAAAGTGCAAGTGGGAGATCGACTGTAGGATAAGGATACATGCAGTAACCAAGCCCTCCAGCATAAAATTGACCTCGATCTTTTGTGAAACCATCAGTTTTTCGCTGCACATGCCATTGGGATACCGCGGTAGATCAGTCCGACACCGCGCAAAAAGAGTCAAAAGAATCAAGTCTCTCCGATGCGGGGAATCGAACCCCGATCTCCTGTGTGAAAGACAGGTATGATAGCCGTTACACTACATCGGACGTTGTTGGTAAAGTTTTCTAATTTGCATATATATTCTTGACCCAAAGATTGAGGTGGTCAGAATGCAATGTTAATGATTTTCTTGGGGTAGTGCCGGTACGACAGGGCTAAGTTTCGTAGGTAGGGCTAAGATGGCCCCCTGCATCACGTGTTCCCCTATGCCAATCGGAGAGCTGGTCTTTTTGGTACACCTGGTTTACTGTTTATGTAGGAGTAAAATACTCCAGAGAACCCATGTAGAGACAATTGCAGAATAGGTTTGGCTTTTCTTGCTTCATTATAAGAGGATATCACCCAGTGGCAAAACCGCAAACCCAGTCCAGCAAGGTCGCAGTGGATTTCATCCCGAGCACTCCCCGCAATGTGTAGAATCAAGACAATCGCCATGTCGACAAACTCCGGCATACCAACCCAGCCAGATCTTTTAGCCCCTACCAGCGCCAGATGAGAAAGAAATACCACGCAAACACAATCCCAGCTACTTGCTTCACCGATGCGACAAATTCTCCCCTGATCGTCCCGGCTGCGGTCGCCTTCCGATCCGCTCGGCGCCCAGAGCCATCCCGTGTCGGCTTCCACTTGGCGCTACCAAGCTCCTCCTTGTCTGCACTCGCGGAAGTGGCGTACAGGGGAGGATTGTTGGTGGCGCGACTGGCCAAGCCGCGCGGGGATGGGAGCGTGGAGCTGGACGTACTAGAAGACGGGCTCTTATATCGGGCAGGGCGCTGCGGCGGATGACTGTGACTCTCCGACAGAGGAAGGATGGGCTCGGGGGCACTAGCCTGTGCGGGGCGTTTCACCACAACAACCGCCCGAAGGAGGAGGACAACCAGCGTGAAACCAAAGACAAGCCCGTAATAAATGAAGATCGAAAGCTGGTCAGGGAGAAGGCACAGGTGGTTCTGCAGTGTCCGACCGGACCCAGCTGACTGCAGCGACTGTCCGGTCGTCTGGTCGATAGGGTTCCACAGACTGGTCATGACAAACCCAGGCCGCCGGATTCCCATTGCCCAAGACAGGCTCTTCACCGTGATTTCGCGGGGTGACCCACTGAATTCGTGGTGGGTGATTTCGCAGTAATCGTGATCATCCCCGGAGTAAACGTGGACCAGATTGGACCCGACCTTCGACACAATGTCCCGCGAGATGGCTGGGGTCAGGACGTTCTGATACTGGTAGCCCCGACCCATGGGAATGGAGTTGCGATCATCTTCTTCTAGGTTGTCGCCCGACGGAGGGTAACGCTCTCTGTGAGGGCCGCATGGCGTGGCCGGTTTGCGATACAATGGAACGTGCGTCAAGAGAATCGCAGGGAGACCCACAATCTCCGGTTGTGGCCGGTGATAGAATGAAGGTTCCAAGATATCCACGACCCGGTGCACATAAAGATGCCCCTCACTCTGATTCCTCATCAAGCGCAGCGACTCCGTCTCCGCACGGCCCCGGTGTACGTTCATCTTGTTGAGAAACTGCTCCGTCTCCGCCCAGATGCGCTGATTTGGCAAGTCTCCCTCCCCAGTGCCAGCGCCCGAACTGCCAGTCTCCGGGTCGGGCTGATCCATCGCACTCAACGAAACAGTGTCTACAGAGACAAAGGTATGATTTCCAATCACATCCACGCGATTACCTTGTCCGAAAAAGCTCTGGAATCGTTCCCGAATGGGGATTTGAACTCCCGCCCCGAAACCCAAGTCATGATTTCCGGGTAGACTCGTAATCATTCTTCGCCCGTAAGGCTCGCTCGAGTGTCCATCGCCGTCATTCCAGGGGTCCGTGAAAATCTTCGTGAATCGGTGGAATTCCTTCTTCCAAAACCGGTCCTTGTACTTCTTGTAACGCTTTTCTGGACTGGAGCTGGTTGCAGTCGCCCATTCCCTGCCACCGTCGAACAGATCCCCAAGAAACAGTACCGAGTCGGGGCCAAGCTCCTTCTGCAAGGACGAGAACGAACGGCGCATATACTGATCGGTGAACTTGACGGTTAGGGTGGACAGAGGCCACGGGCGGCCTGGGTAAGTATGGGGGTCAACGAGTTGCGGGTCGGCGATAAATGCGACATGGTGTGGGGAGGCATCTTGAGGCTATGCATGCTCCAGATTAGTTCACAAGATGAGAGCAGTCGACAGATGGGCCACGATCTAGCGGCATGACATACCCATTTCTCCCAAGTCTCCCATGCACACGCCTTGACACTGTCCTGGAAAACGGTCCGCTCTCCCCACCACAGCGTGCAAGCCCATAGGACCACCAGCGCATTTGTGACGTTGAAAATGCACCGCGCGACTCTCGCGAGCAAGGACAACATCCCACTCCAGCTTCGAAATGCTTCTTTTGTTTCCAGCGCCCATTGCTGTGTTTGTGAGGGCAGGTAATCTCGCACATGGGAGGAAATCGTCGTCGGTTTCATGTCAACTTGACGTGCCGGTCGGTAGCTACCAGAGCTGGGGCCGTGCGAATGGGGATACGAGTAACTCATGTTGTTGGTGCACAGTGGAGATGCAGCTACCGTCGAGCGGCATTGCCGCTCCGATGCTGAGCCGAATTGGAGACGCTTAACAGGGAATGGACCGCGACGTCATGCCTCTAGAAGCAGTGCGTTCAAAGCAAGAAAAATCTTCAAGATGAAAGACTCAAGAGCGAGTGAAGCTAGATTGGTCAATGAAAGAAAAAGGGTCAGTGGGCGAGTGAAGAAGTGGACGCCAGGGGTGTTCGCCGCCAAACGGGCGGGATCACGTCACGTGTGGCCGCGTTCATTTTGTTTTCGGGGGTATTTTTGGCAACTGACAGGCTGGGCGTAGCCTTTGCCCCTCCGGTCTTACTCCGGCCCTCATATTATGTACCTCACTCACAGTTGGACCCTGTTTAGCTCCTCCGCCCCTAAACCATAGACACCCTACAAAACTCGAATCCAAACCTGTAATACTGGCCGATAGTATAATTCGGTAAATTAATGGTAGCGATACATGGGAACCAGCGTGAAATGCACACGGGGGGATGTATTTAGTTCGAGGAGTGCGCCCAACATGCGCCATGTCCAGATGAAGATTATCAACCAGGGTCAACTCAACAGATGACGGTACAGTCACCAGAAACAATCGGGTATGATCCGTAAGAATAGAAAACAGTATTTTAGGTCGAGCAATGAATGGGGAAATGCAGGGGTAGGGGGTTAAGTGAGCAAGGCTAAAGTGATTAGGGCGATCTCTTCGGACAACACTGGCCGTTCTGAGCGCATTCCTCGCCACATTCAAGAAGACAGGCCTGAGGGTCTCCTTCAGGGACACTGGGTGTACGGCTGGGAAGCGTCGCTGAAACAGAGGCTTCGCCATCGTGGTGAGTGGGAAATTGAACGGTGTCTTCGGCATCGCTGTCCGGGGCGAACTCCGGTTGGATGGTCGACGAGTGAATTCCGTAGGCATGCAAGCACTTGCGTACCTGCCTGGCTAGGCGCATGTACCGCTCTGAGCCCTCACCCTTGATCTCTGTATCGACCTGAATGTGGATCGAGGCGACAAGCTTGGTATCGCTTAATTGCCAGACATGCAAATGGTGGGAGCCAATCACTCCGTGCAATCTCTCAATATCTTCCTTGATATGGTCAATGCTCAGACCATGCGGCACTGCCTGAAGCAGAATCCGCGATGCCGCCTTGCAAAGAGGGATGGCAGAACAGAGAATGATCACGGTGATCACCAAGGAAATGCCCGGATCCACATAGAAGCGCCATGAGTAATCAGTGAGCCAGATAATCAGAGCGGAAGCAATGACACCAATGTTGCCGAGCGCGTCGCCCATCACATGAAGGAAAACGCCCCGCATGTTGAGATCATGACCATGGCCGTGGCCGTGCTTCTCGTCCTTCTGCTTGGGTTGGGCATGGTTGTGGTACTTGTGAATGTCGTCATCAACAGGAGCGCGTCGAGGTGTGACAGTCGAGTTGCTAGCATCTGTATAATTGCCAGCACGGTCCTTGTGGCCGAGTAACGCAGAGCGCTCCGATGGGCCAACGTCCTCAGGATCTCCGCCCTCGAGCACGTCAGTGTCGGATCCGGATTGGTCATCATAGCGCGAGCGACTAGCCGCGATGATTTCTTGCCTTAGAGTGGCGGGATGAACCTGGATCTCTTCGACATCAACAAACCCACGGCCCGTTGCGCCGCTGTAGCGGCGAGAGCTGCGGTGCTGGCTGTCCAAGGTCCGACGACGGTGCGAATGCGACGAAGTATCTGCACCAACAGTACGCTGTAGTCCGACGTCAACATTGATCCTTGAATTGTAGGGCAAGATCCTCACGCTAGCTGTATTTCCATGCTCCAACACCGGAGAGGGGTCATGACTGTGCTCATGGGCGTGATCTTCCTCCGATGAAGCACCCTCTTCAATATCTGCGTGTCCATGGCTATGGCCGTGCCCGTGTCCATGGGAATGATCATGGAACAAGACCAGACCGATGATGTTTGATAGCAGGCCCAAGCAGCCGACAATGCAGACAAACTTAGGATTCTTGACCTCCTGAGGCTCCACCAGTCTCTGTATAGCCTCCAAGAAGATCGATAAACACAAGGCGACTAGAAAAACCCCATTCACTAAAGCGCCCAATGTCTCCGCGCGTTGCCACTGCCGACAGGAACGATGATCAGACGGTTTCTAAACGGTATGGGAAAGAGGGACAACGCACTCCATAGGTGTACATCTTTGAGTTGGTCTCGCGGTTGGCAACCTTGACCGCCCATAGTCCGACCAGTAAAGAGAGAACATCATTCAGCTGTTGAATTGTGTCAACCTATGTCCAAACGGGCCGCAGGATGTGATATTGGAAGCGTACCATATGAAAGGAGTCTGCAACAAGGGCAAGCGAGTGGACGCTGTAACCTATTCGAATCAAAACCGGTTAGCAAACAGGAAGCAAATCAACAGTGATTTAGAAAGCGTACCAGCAATCAACTCCAACAGAAAGAAGGCCGAATCAATGGCTAACAGGATCAAAATCCTGTTGGTCTTGGAAAGACCCATGGTGTCTGGCCTTGCGCTCCGTGGCGCGCGTGGGATAAGAAAAGATGACGACAGCGGCCCCTGATCAGCGGGCAGAACCGGATCTCTAGGTTCGCACAAGGAGATATTGCGATGAGAGGGTGTCAGGAACGAGATAGATGAGGGACATCAAGAGTGCGGGAGAAGAGAAAAAAGTAGGAGAGAAATAAATCTGAGCTCACAAGAAGATAAGTAGAGAGTGATAGGAGAGAGAGAAGGCCCAAGGATTCCTGGTCGCAAAACCGAGGACTTGTTTTAGGAAGGCGGAAGGCCGCCGGCCGATGGGTCCAAAAGTGGCGTTAGCCCTGCCTGGCGTCTGCCGCTACCCACCGCCTTGCAGGTTTTCAGGTAAGCATGATTTAGTTATAACTCATCACTTAGTAACTTCAGTCAACTTATAGTTATCCTTTCCCTCGTATCTTCATGGCTCTGGTATTTCTCTTACTGATGCTCATGCAAGATCTGCCTCGTCCACATCCAGTGCTCTGTGCTACCTGTTGTTCCAGAATACTTCCTGAACTGACTCCTCCGACCTCTTGCCGATCCCATACTTAGCAACTCAGCCTGCTCAGGCTCGACCCACTTGCTACAGGGCAGAGCTGATCCACTGTTTGACGCTATCTGAAATTGGTTTTGCCCCTCTTCTCCACGCCTGGGTTTCTCCTTTTCCTGGTTCCCTTATTCCGAGCTGGTCCGATACAAATAATTCAAACTCCGTCGACTGTGTCTGTTGCGTCAACTAAGAGGTCGATAAATTTGCAAAATGCAAGGTGCTTTATGCAGCATGCCACATCATGACGCACGATTAGAGATTCCGCGGCAACTAATTTGAGGCGGCAGCCTACAGCAACGATCAAGGCGCCGTCTGTGCGCTAGCCCGGGACTTAGCGAACAGCCGAGATTATTACAAAACTAGTTCATGTAGTTAGTGCTACATTACCTAGGGTTAAGTTAGCTGACTAGTCAATAGCTCAGCAATCCGGCCTCACGACGTGAGACAGTCTGAGCGATTAATGTCAGACTAGCTTCTCGCACTCCTGTCAGCGATTCAGGCACAGTTTGATCACCTCGAGAGTCGACCTATGGTATCAATCGTGTTTGTCATGAGCGCTCTGCGCTTTCCAAGCCAAGAGTCGCACGCAGTATGTGATAGCACTTCACGAATGACTTCTTCATGGTTATACACGCGATAGCGTCGACTCGTACGGCGAGATGACTTCGACTTCAGACCCATCGCTAGTTGAGTAGTGGAGCATACTTGTAAGCGCGGTCTCTGTTAACGAATTGCGTTCGCGCTATATCTTCAGCTCTCTTCAATTCTCGATCGTGCTTCGGCGGCGACCGGGCTCTCTGTGGACCTGGCAGCCTTGGTAAAAACTCAGACCGGGAGATGAGCAGCGAATGAGATGCTTTGATGGGACTGATAGATTTCGTCTTCAGCCCTATTCGCATTCTTTTTCTGCATGAGTCAGGACTCAATGCTCTACGGTACAGCAAGCTGCCTGTTTCTTAACAACGCAACCATGGCACATAAATCCTTCATAAGCACTATACGGGGGCGGGGGTTCTTTTCCCTTGACAACCAAATCCAGACTTTGACCATCCGCTTTCCCATCTCCAACTGCAACACCCTCCTCACTATATGCACTGAGTTGTCTCTCTATCCGCTGTTCGTCCACCACTATCCCCTTCTCTCACGCAGTCTATCAACCTATAAATCGTCATCACAGTCAGCAATTGTAATTGCCACCTTCACCGAATTCTTATTTTCACCGACATGCAAACTAAGATTTACATATCTCCCCGCTCTCATCTCTATCTACCATCACCACATCCTTGCCCGCATTCACCCTACCCACCAAGCTTCCATACTTCTAGATCCCGTTCTTGACCATTACCCCCTTCAAATCCGTGTTGACGATCACGTAATCCTCGACGTCGCAATCAACCAGATCTGCCTTCTTCAATCGGCTTCCTGTCACGCGACAGTTCACCACCGTACTCGGTCGTAGGGCACTCGTGCGCCCGATCGCCGAACCACTAACCTCGCATCGCGGTCTCCACGACCCTTCCCGGATGGTCGAGTCTGTGATGGTGCAATCGTCGGAGCGAATCGACGTCTTCCAAATAGCAGTGATCAGCTTGGACGAATTTGCTGGAGGAGACGTTGATGAGCGTGCAACCAGAAAACTTGCAATGGTGCAGGGGTGCGATTGGACAGAGCACAGTCGGTCAGTGCGGAGCAGCGGATGGAGGGGGAGGCATTGTGGAGGGTTGTGGTGTTGCTGGTGTGCTTTGGTTTCGTCATTTGAGGAGAGAGGCGGTTGGATGTACTTTTGATTCTCTGCGAGTAAGGCGAGAGTCACCCTACAGCATTTAGGGTTGTCAAATGGCGGTGATAAGAGCGTGGGCTCTAACACGAGGTGGGACTATGGAGGTTATTATACCCTCTCCATGCGGAATGTCAAGGTCATGACCGCTGAGTTCGCCGCAAAATACACCGCCGTGAGAATTTCCCGGACTGCCAGATTCCTCACGCCACGAAAGGTCTTATCACGTCGACTATAGACTTCGGTCATGCAGTCATGGATTGGCGTCGCAAAGCATTCCCGATCCGGATTACACTGACACCGCCTCGGGAGGAAGGATTCAGAATGACATCCGATAATTCTCGTCCCTTGGTCATTCTCTGGTTACACCGGTCGCATAGTGAACCACGTTCGCACAAAGCCCCATGGAGCTGAAAGCAGATCGCAGACTGGCAACTCGATTTCTTCAGATTATCAGTGTTTAGGCCCGTGTCTGGTGGAGATGATGCCGTGATACACTACGTATAAGTCAAGGCTTGCCCTTTAAGCTTCATCGCCGCCGCACTAGGGCAGATCCACTCCATGTGCGGCCTGATGATAAAGCCAAAGCCTGCATCGTGAGTGGAGTGCCATATTTCTACTGAAGTCGAGTGAGCAACCATCCGCAATTTTGGACCCTGACCAACAAAGCTTGTTTTGCAATTCGAACACGGCTGGGCCTCGGCAATTTCTCGTCCTTGCTCTCATCTCCACCACACACCCTTGACGTCAACATCACCAACCGAAGGATCCGCACATAGATGATGCACGATCGCTGCTTATAAATAATTAGACCCTCCCCAAAACAAGCAGTGGTCAATTCCGTCGCATCCGACGATCCCACTTTTCTGCTAGAAAGGCACGGAGACTTATTTCTTGGAGATGGCCCGGCATTGCCACTCGTCCCTCCGCGCAATCTCTCCGGCTTCAGGACACTTCAAGTGGGACGCGGATGGGAAAACGGCTGCCAGGTGGATCTTGCCCTCTTCCTACTACATCTACGTCATGGCGATGGCATTTCCCGCTGGTTCGTGATAAGAGGTGTGTTGATGTTGGGGGGGGGCTTGAGCGATCACTGTAGTATATATGTAGAGGTCCGATTCGGCGGGGGTTTTGAGATGATTATCATACAGAAGCGACAATTGCACAGATTCATTTCTTCTTACTACTATCCCTAATTGAGTCTCGTTCAACACCCCTCGACATCTTTCCTAATGACCGTTCCGAGCATGGATAGCTTCGATTTCGTGGTTGTCGGTGGTAAGTCCCAATTCTCCCTCTCCTCTGCTGTTATTTGTCCATTGACAGGCAAGCAGGAGGCACTGCAGGAAACGTGGTGGCCGGGCGACTGGCCGAGAACCCCGAGGTCACAGTCCTGGTGATTGAGGCAGGTATCGCGTATGTGAATTCCACTCCCCCCACCCATCTATGCACTTGAAAAACATCCCACTGAGCACCCACCGTCCCAGCAACCCTCAAGATATCGAGAAAATCACCACCCCGGCGACGGCCTTTGACCTGCGCGGCAGTAAGCATGACTGGGGCTACAAAACCACCATGATCCGCCGGCCCGACTACGAGCGCGCTGAGAAGCCCAACACTCGCGGCAAGGTCCTCGGCGGCAGCAGCTGCCTGAACTACTACACCTGGATTCCGGGGAGCAAGGGAACCTTTGATGCATGGGCCGAGTATGGCGGTGGCTCGTGGACGTGGGATGGCTGCAAGGAGTACTTCAGCAAGGTGGGGTGATCGCACTCAAATTTATTGTCTCATGACTGCTAATCTGCCGCCAAACAGCCCGCAACCTACCACGACGACGACAACCTCTACCCCAGCGACCTGGCCCGGATCGGTCGCGACGGACCCGTGCACGTCTCGCACGCCGACCTCATCCCGGAGCTGCGGCCCTTCCGCGACGCCTTGACGGCCGCGTGGACCAGCGCCGGCCACCCGGTCAGCGAGGACATCTACTCGGGCAAGATGGAGGGACTGACGCACTGCGTCAACAGCATCTACAAGGGCGAGCGCTCGTCCAGCGGCGCGTACCTGACGGGCAAGGACAACGTGGTGATACTGCCGCGGTCCATCGCCAAGAAGATCAACTTCGACGGCGACGGCGCCACCCGGACCGCGGTGAGCGTCACCGTGCTGGGGCCGGACGGGTCGGAGCTCATTGTTGAGGCTAAGCGCGAGGTCATCGTCGCCGCCGGCGTCTTCGAGACCCCCAAGCTCCTGCTGCTGTCGGGGATCGGGCCCGCGGCGGAGCTCGCACGCCATGGCATTGAGCCTGTGGTTCCCTCGGAGCACGTCGGCCAGAACCTCCTCGACCACCCGATCATGCCGCATGTGTTCCGGCTGAAGGAGGGGAGGGGGCTGGATAGTCATCTGCTCCGCGCGGGGCCCGCGCATACTGCGGCGGTGCAGAAGTACCGCGAGAGCAGGCAGGGCCCGTACAGTAGCGGGCTGCTCGAGCTGGTGGGCCTGCCGCGGATCGACGACCGGCTGGAGAGATACAAGGAGTATCGCGAGGCGAAGGCGCAGAACGGCGGCAAGGATCCCTTTGGGCCGGAGGGCCAGCCGCATTTTGAGATTGACTTTGTGGTGCGTATATCACATTTACCCTGTGCGAACCCCCCCGGTGAGAAACCCTCGCTGATTGCTCCGTAGCCCATGTTCTCCGACGCCTTCCAGTGGCATTTCCCCGTGCCCACCGAGGGCGACTGGCTGACGGTCATCGTGGACCTTCTCCGTCCGATGTCCCGCAACGGCGAGGTGAAGCTGAACTCCCCCGACCCGCGCGACCCGCCCAACATCAACCTGAACTTCTTCTCGAATGACCTCGACATCATCGCCCTCAGTGAAGGCGTCCGCTTCGTGGACGAGATCCTCATGCAGGGCGAGGGCATGAAGGAGATGATTGGCGAGGACTATCCCTGGCCCATGCCGCGGCACTCGGACGAGGCGATGAAGAAGATGATTCTCGATCATTCGCAGACGGGATACCGTGAGTGTTTTTTTTTTTCTTTTCTCTCGAAACCAACAAGCTTGCTAATGCGTGCATAGACCCCTGCGGCACAGCCCGACTGTCCCAGTCCATCGAGCAGGGAGTGGTGGACCCGGAATTGCGCGTGCACGGCACGAAACGCCTCCGGGTGATCGATGCGTCGATTATCCCGGTGATCCCTGATTGCCGGATCCAGAATTCGGTGTATATGATCGGAGAGAAGGTGAGTGGTGATTGGTTTCCAGTTGGGTTGTGATTCGAGGCTAATGGGTTGGTTTTTAGGGTGCGGATCTGATCAAGGCGGCCTACCCTGACTTGTACAAATGAAGAGCGGCAGTGGGCTGAACATAGCGAGCAGATAGTTGGTATAGTGCATAGCTTAATTTAATTCATGTCTGATGGTACGTTACATAACTCGTGTGTCGCCAATTGCGAAGAACAGATCGTGCAAACAACCCCACCAAGTCTCGTAATCGCGGGACTTACCGCAATCGAATCAGTCTGCCCTAATTTAGTGCTGACAGGAATTGATCGTGCGTAAGATCCACGCGAAGCTCCTTATCTCCTGCCATTAGCGCTGCACAGTAACTCCCTCTTGTAGTTACCATCGTTATGTCCGTCCATCACTACATCCGACACTAAGGATTGGTGACAACGGAGGTAACAGGGGTCCATCTGCTGCATAACCCCGAGTATCAAGCCATTGCCCCTCTCTGCTTCCCCCCTACTTATAGACCATCTCCTCCTCTCCTCGTCTCTCAATCCAACCAACACACTCTTGGGCCAAACACCAAATCCCACCCTCACCATGACCTCCAACAACCTCGCCAAATGCTGCACCATCGGCACCCTCCACGAAGGCGAAGCCAAGGGGGTCATCCAAGACATTGAGAACAGTACCGACCCCCCAACCCCCACCTACCCACCACTGTAATACTGATACGCCCCCCTCAAGTCTCCACCTACATCACCCACCCCCCAACGCCCTCTCAAACGGCCATCCTCCTCCTCACCGACGTGATCGGCCACCGCTTCCTCAACGCCCAGCTCATCGCCGACCAATTCGCCGCCGCCGGCTACCTCGTGGTCATGCCCGACCTCTTCTCCGGCGACAGCGTGCCGCTGAACCGCCCCGAGGGCTTCCAGATCATGGAGTGGGCGCAGGGCCATCAACCCCCCCACACCGACCCGATTATCGAGACGGTTCTGCAGCACATCCGCACCAGTCTCGGCTGCGCCAAGGTGGGCGGCGTGGGCTATTGCTTTGGCGGGAAGTATGTGGCGCGCTTTTTGCGGCCCGGGACGGCGCTGGATGCGGGGTTCACGGCCCATCCGACGATGATGACGAGGGAGGAGTTGAAGGAGGTGAGAGGGCCGTTGAGTATTGCTGCTGCTCGTGAGTTTTTCCTGATCTGGGGTATTGCTGGATGGGGGTGGATGGTAGGCGAGGCTAATTGGTGGTAACTACAAAAGAGCACGACCCGATTTTCTCGGCGGAGAAGCGACGCGAAAGTGAAGAGATTCTCGGGGCGGGTGACCTGCCCTGGCAGATCAGTGTCTATTCGGATGTCGAGCATGGGTTTGCGGTGCGAGGGGATCCCAAGGTGCAGCGGGCGCGGTTTGCGAAAGAGCAGGCCTTCAAGCAGGCGGTGGCGTGGTTCGATGAGTATTTGAGGGAGTAAATGCTTTGCTTTGTGGGATGTGCAGACTGTGTACAGGAATCTTTTTCCGAGAGCGACTAGTGTTCACCCTGTTCTAGATATTCAATGTCGAATAGAGGCCCATCCATTCAAATGATCCTGCTGACCTCGACTACACGCCAACTCCTCACTTGCGCAGCGCAGATCCTCAGCTCTGCGCCAATCACGCTATTAGAATGCCGTGCAATATATGTAGGGAGTGGGCGATGATGTCCTGATCCGGACTACACCCTGGCCACCCCATGCATGGCCTCACGCTCTCCGCACCAATCACCGACTGCGCTCGGGGGAATTATCTGCTGTCCCAGCTGCAAAAACCCCTCTTCTGCCCACCTCAGATCAAAAGATAAGGACATCTCGCGTTGCCAGAACTTCCAGCTTGAAAGCTTCCAGACCTCATCTTCCACCTCGCAAGACACACCCATGATGCTATCCGCCCTGATCGCAGCCCTCCTTCTGGCGGGCTTGTATTTCGTCTTAACCCTAACTTCCCGCCGGAAGCACCCGCCGCTGCCCCCGGGGCCTCCCCGGAAACCCATCATTGGCAATTTGAACGACCTCCCTCGTCCCGGCCAGCAGGACTGGAAACATTGGTTCCAGCATAAAGCGCGTTATGGTCTGATGGTCTCACCTCGCAAAACTGCCTGGTATACGGGAAGGGTTGACGAATGAAATGAACGAACCACAGGCCCCATCAGCTCCCTCAGCGTCCTCGGCCAAACCATCATCATCCTGAACGAGGCTCGCTTCGCCGTGGATCTGCTGGAGAAGCGCTCCGGGATCAACTCGTCTCGTCCGCAGCAGAACTTTGCCCAGATGTGAGTGGGCCGCCCAGAACCTCTCACCCCACAGCCTGACACCACCCCCAATGCGATTAGGTCGGGATGGGACAACGTCCTCGGCTCCGTGCAAAATAACGAGCGACTGCGCGAGAGCCGCAGGAACCTCCATCGAGAGATCGGGTCCAACAAGATGGTGGCTCGGTTCAACGAGGTGCAGACCGCGGAGGTGGGCCGGTTCCTGTTGCGTGTGCTGGAGTCACCGGGGGAGTTGGTCAAGCATATTCGGAAGTTAGGCTATGCAATAAATTTCCGGATGCCAGATGCTAATGCAGACAGAGAAACCGGGGCGATCATCCTCAAGATCGGATACGGGTATACCGTGGCGCCGCACACGCACGACCCGCTGGTCGATCTGGCGGATCGCGCGATGGAGGACTTCTCGGTCGCCATGTTGCCGGCGACGTATCTGGTGGATTATATCCCGTTGCGTAGGTGGTCTGCCTTTGATGTCTTGGGGATTTCCCTCTAACCATCACACACACACAAAAAAAAAGTGATGTACCTTCCCCCCTGGTTCCCAGGTGCAGGCTTCATCCGCACCGCGCGTCAGTACAAGAAAACCGTCACGGCCTTTAGCGACCTGCCCTACGCCTTCGTGCAGAACCAGATGCGGACCGGCCGGTCCCAGTCCTCCTTCTTGTCGAACCTGCTGGCCAAGCAAACCACAACGCTCATCCGCGGCTCGGAGGCTGAAACTACGGTTAAATGGTCCGCCGCCTCGCTGTACGCTGGGGGGGCAGATACGGTGCGTCCTACCGACCCTTCCACCCTTGCATCATCCTTTTTTGTTAACCGAGAGAGAGCGCAGACGGTATCCTCCATCGTCGCCTTCTTCCTCGCCATGGCACTATTCCCGGACGTCCAACGCAAAGCCCAGGCCGAGCTAGACGCAGTCGTGGGGCCGGCCCGTCTGCCTACCCTGGACGACCGCGACCACCTCCCGTATGTCAATGCGCTGGTCAAGGAGGTGTTCCGGTGGCATCCGGTCGTGCCGATGAATCTCTCGCATGTCTCGGTCCAGGAGCAGGAGTATGAGGGGTATTGGATTCCGAGGGGGGCATCGATTCTGGCGAATATCTGGTGCGTTCTTTTTTTTTTTTTTGATTCTGGGTGGTTACTGTCTGGCTGGCTACAGTACTTGCTACGTGATTCCCCTCTCTCCCTGCCCAGTGGTCACTACTCAACTAACCACTCCGCATCCAGGGCCTTCACCCACGACCCAACCATCTACCCCGAGCCAGAAGTGGTCCGTCCCGAACGCTTCCTAGGCCCCCAACCCCAGCGTGACCCGCATTTCCTCGTCTTCGGCTTCGGACGCCGCGTCTGTCCCGGCCGGACCCTGGCAGATGCGAACGTATTCCTCACCGTTGCGCAGGCCCTAACCGTCTTTAACATCCTACCCCCGGCACCAGAGGACAAACGACAGTGGAAGCCCGCATTTCTCCCCGGGGTCATCAGTCATCCTGTGCCGGGGAAGTTGAGGATCGAGGCGAGAAGTCCCCAGCATGAGGGGTTGATTCGGGCGGTCGAGCGGGTGTTTCCGTGGGAGGGGAGTCATGCAAGGGAGTTGGAGGGATTGGAGGATTAGTTTCAGGTTGTGGTATATGAATTGGGTGAGGGTGTGTTGTTTCAAAGGGTACATACATACACTAGTGAAAGGAATTACTTATACTGAGTATATTGAAAACCAGCGAAAAAAGTCAAACGACGTCTTTCGTTGTATGCATCACATCCGGCAGTCAAACACACTCCTACGCCAACGCAAAGAAGCCCGACAGCGCCCACAATACTCCCCGCATTGACATCCAGATCTGCCAGGAGAGGTCCCAGCACCGGGTCCAGCGGCGTGGTCAGGGAGCCACAGCACCGGACCGGGACGATGCATTGCGATGCGTCGACGGTGGGTATGACTTCTTGGGTATTTAGACTGCCTGGCTGTATCCAGGCTGGATAGATGTGTGCTATTTATCTCTATGATCGAGTTGAAGAACCGAGTGGTCAATATCGTATCCTCAAATGATCGCACCGTTGCGCGAGGGAAAGTCTCAAAAACTAGCCATGCACCTATTCTCTCAACGCCACAGTCACCGGTGGAAAGGTGATATTCGCGCCAGATCAGTATATGATGAAGGTTTCAAGTTTGAGTCTCGCGGCAATAGCCTGTCATCAGTCTAAGCCTTACCAGCCACCCAGCTCGGATGCTTTTCTGGCACCAGATCAGCAGACGTACAAAGTATAAGATACTGCGTGCTCGAATTGGCGTCTGAGGTTGCAGTAGCAATTTGGGCTTGATGCAAAGCACATAGTGCTGATCCTTCAGAGGTCATGACCTTTGGATTGGAGAATAACAAGAAAAGTAGTAAACGTGATCAAGATAGAGAAAAAAGAGAATTCATCTTGAGTAAGACTATCTAATTGACTGTAGTTAACCTCTACTAATGCATGTAGCTAAGAACTTACTAGCCAAATGCTAGGAACTTTGCAGCTTGATACCATTTGCTTTGCTATTGATTCCATCAGAGCCTATAAGAGTCAGCCGAGCTGACATCTAAGAAGGTGACAGCTCAGCTGCTTACTCTGTTGGCAGAATTATTTCTTGCATAGTCGCTGCTAAATCCAGAGGAAACAGCAGATCATAAGCACTGTAACCAAGTCGATGGCCGTCTGGCAGACAGACTAGCCTGCATCGCCCTTCACCTACTTTCTTTGTTGCTCGGAATTCTTTTCCCAAGAGCCGTCCATCGCGTATGGGCAGATGGGAATCATATCTTCTTGCTCATTGCTCAAGCTCTAACAAGAACTATCTACTTACTTGCAGACAGAATTATGCACGCACAGCTGACTCATCCCATCCAGTCCACACAGTCCCCAGTGGCGGTGCACTCCACCCACCCGCCACCCGCCAAGCCCCACCAGCCACAAACTCGCGACACAAAAATTCCCTCCATTTGGCAAAGAACGAATCCATCCAAATCCCCATCCACCAGCCCCCCTCCCCCAGACAAACCACCTTTCCGGTCGTGCTGGGTTTTTGTTGTCACTTTTTTCCCCCCCCCATCTTTGTTTCATCTTCCACCCATAATATATCTCACATCACATTATGGCTCCCATCTCCATCGCCGACATCGTCGCCGCCCTGCCGGCCGACGACACCTGGGGCCCCGCCGTGGCGGGCGACAACATGCTGGACGGCGTGCCGTATGCTCCTTTCTCCAAGGGGGACAAGCTGGGTCGTATGGCCGACTGGACCGCCGAGTCGAAGGACCCCAACCGGGCTGGTCGTCAGGCGTATAACCGGAACTTCAGAGGTATGTTCTTGCTGTCTTTTGGTCTGGTTCGATAGATCGAGTTGGGAAAAGAAGTACATCCAACTAACCACCCGCATTTCTGTGATCTGCTTAGACCAGCAAGTCTACGGCGCCGGCACCTCCAACCTTTTCTCCGTGCAAGTGGCGGAAGACGAATCCTCATTCTCAGTGGTGGACAACACGCGCAGCTCGACGAAGCGCACCTTCGGCCGGGGCGGCGGCACGGTCTTCCGGGGCCGGGCGCAGCGCGGAGGCGCCCAGCGCGGCGGCCGCGCGGGTTTCCAGCGGGTCGGCGGCGGCGGTGCGGGCGGTGCTGGTGGTGCTGGCGGTCGCGCCGGCGGAGACCGGTACTACGACAACCGGTCGGGCGGCCGCGGCAACCGGGGCCGTCGGTTCGGATGGAAGGACTACGACAAGCCGCAGCGGACGCGCGAGGCGAGCGTGGCGGTGCGGCCGGATTGGACGATGTTGGAGGAGGTGGACTTCAGCCGACTGTCGAAGCTGAACATGGAGGCGCCCGAGGGCGAGGAGGTCGACTCCTACGGCTTCCTGTACTACTACGACCGCGCCTACGACAAGGCCCCCGTCAAGAACGCGGAGCGCCGGCTCCAGCCCCTCGACCGCGCCGCCTACAACGTCACCACCTCCCAGGACCCGGTCATCCAGGAGCTGGCCGACAAGAACGAGGCCACCGTCTTCGCCTCCGCCGACATCCTCTCCACCCTCATGTGCGCCCCGCGCAGTGTCTACTCGTGGGATATCGTCATTGTGCACCAGGGCGGCAAGATCTACTTTGATAAGCGCGAGGGCGCCTCCCTGGATCTGGTGACCGTCAACGAGAACGCCGCGGACGCCCCGCTCGAGCTGGCGGACTCGGCGGGCGCCTCGGCGGCCGCTGCCGCCGCGAACAAGCAGGAGGGGGCCGCCATCAACACCCCGAGCGCGCTCGCCCTCGAGGCCACCTTCATCAACCACAACTTCGCCCTGCAGACGGTGGTCGAGTCGGAGGAGGCCAAGGTCGAGCTGGCCCACCCGAACCCCTTCTACAACGCCGCCGAGGAGACCGAGCCGCTGGCCTCCAAGGGGTACAAGTACCGGCGCTTCGACCTGTCGCTGGAGCGCGACGGGGAGGACAGCGCCCCCGTGCACATGATCGTGCGCACGGAGATCGACGCGATCATGAAGAACCCGACGGGCGGCGAGGACCAGCAGCTGGTGGTCAAGGCGCTGAACGAGTTCGACAGCAAGGCGCAGGGCTCCGGCGGCGCGCTCGACTGGCGCTCCAAGCTGTGGTCGCAGCGTGGTGCCGTCGTCGCCACCGAGATGAAGAACAACTCCTCCAAGCTGGCCCGCTGGACCACCCAGGCCATCCTCGCCAAGGCCGACGCCATGAAGCTGGGCTTCGTCTCCCGCGCCAACCCCCGCTCCGCCGCCGCCCACGTCGTCTTGGGGGTCGTCGGCTACAAGCCCCGTGACCTCGCCACCCAGATGAACCTCAACCTGGGTAACGGCTGGGGTATCGTCCGCACCATCGTCGACCGCATCCGCGCCCTCGACGCCGACGAGGATGAGGAGAAGGTCAAGAAGTACGTCCTCATCAAGGACCCCAACCGTCCCGTCCTGCGTCTCTACAGCGTGCCCCCGACTACCTTTGAGGAGGAAGAGGAGGAGGAGGTCGCGGCTGAGGCGGACGAGGCCGCCGAGGAGGATGAGGAGTAAACGCTTCTCTCCTCCAGAGATTCGAGTTGATGATTTTGTCCCTGAATGTTTTGTCCTGTTAAAAGTTCCTATTAGTTTTACGAACGACCCATCATGCTTTCACAAAGTCTGATTCACCGCTTTTCACACTCATTCCGTAAGTTGGTCTGCTACGTCCAAGCCAAGTAGAGAGACACGAGGTTGTATGTATGTTAGTTATCCAGCTTCCCAACTAGAACCCCCAAGCATAATGCTTGTATCGAGCGAGCAACCCCCCCCCCCCGGTCCCCCTACTGCACCATCTCCAACTTTACCTCCTTCTTCACTCCAAACACATCCCGCCATTCATCCCACACCCGCTGCAGCTCCTCCACATACAACCGATGCACCTCCTCCACGTACGCCTCATCCTGCACATACCGCTGCTCCTTCACCTTGATCGGGTGCCCCACCACCACATGAATCGGCTTGCGGAACGGCACGGTCACCCCCCACCGTCCGCTGATCACACGCGTCGACCTGCCTGTCATCGTCTTCCAGAGTCGGGCACCAGCGGCCACCAGGCCGCCGCCCGGTCGTCTCTCCTCTGCACCGGTTGCCTCCTCATGGAGCCGAGTCTCGTCATCCGGGTAGACCACATCAAACACCTCATTCTCGCCGAACGCGACCACCGGCACCAAGTTCGCGCCCATCTCGATCGCAACGCGGATAAACCCCCTCCGGATCCCCAAGACCAGGTCCATGCGGCCGGGGCGGGCGATGCGCGCCTCGCGGTCGCCGCCGACGCAGATGGTGACCGCCTGGCCGAGGCCGTGGCCGTCGTGGCCGCCGGACGACAGTAACCTCGCGCACGAGGTGCGGCTGACGCTGCCCAGCCCCAGGGCGAGGGCGTACTCGCGCAGCAGCGGGGCGCGGAGGCACTTGTCGGATACCAGCAGCGTGTGGTTGAGGCCTGGGAAGAGAGTGTCGAAGCCGGCGCCCTTGGCGGCGAGGGCGCCGATGGCGCCGCGGATGGCGATGCCGTGTGGGTGGTAGCCGAAGATGTACTTCTGGTATGGGGATAAGGGGGTGCTGCGGTAGAGGCGGAGGGGGAAGTAGCTGGTGTAGAAAGACCAGAGGGGGGAGTTCCGGAGGGTGGATGAGGCGGATGGCCAGGAGGGGAGCGAGGTGGGAGGGAAGTAGGTGATGACCAGGACGTAGAGTGGGTAGATGATGCGGATGAAGAAGGGGATGGGCAGGGATGGGAGGAGGACGAGGAGTAGAAGGGCGTAGCCGAGGATAGGAAGGAAGAGGGAGGTGTTGGTGGTAAGGGTAACGAACACTGTGCTGATCAGGGTATGGACTCTGGCGAATTGTGGTTAGGGTTTGCGGACCTTGCTTGGATACCGGGGAGAGGCAGCTTACTTTGAGGTTGCGTAGTGGTCCAGATGAGGGCGATTGACAGTCTCCAGAACGCCTCCAACCTTGTTCTTGACCGTGCGCAGCGTGTCCTTGGGGTGCTGGTTCACTTCGGGGATTGGCAGCGCCATTCTCTCCGGATGGTGCGCCAACTCTGCAATCTTCGCAGCGCCGACCACCCGTCCTTCGCTCTTGCGGCAGAGTGCAGACAACTCTTCGGCCTTGGCCTGCATTGCGGCATTGCCAACCACCTTGATGAGGGCCCGGCCAAACTCGTCCCCGTCGACTCTCGGAGCAGCGGTTTTGTTCGCGTATACTCCGATTTTCAGCCACTCTGTCCGCACAGCATTCTCGTAGCAGTCTTGCCAACCAGGAAGAACGACGTGGGGGATGCCAGACCTGGTAGGCTGTTAGTATCGTGACTGGACTTGAGAGCAGAGAACAACTTACTGTATCGCCTCGTACCATGAATTCGCGCCACCATGGTGTACGGAGCAGACGACCTGCCCCGTCTGCAGCATCGCCAACGGCTCCACCCGGAACCACGGCTGGATGCGCACCCGGTCCTCTCGGATCTCAGCAGCGAGCAGCTCCTCTGCCTCCTCAAATACATGCGCACAATCCTGGGCATGTTTTGGGAGCTTCCACAGCACCTGGAATTTGTCCGTTCGCGAATCCAGAAACATCCTCACCCCCGAAGCGATGTTCCGGGCCATTGCTGGGTCCGGAGCATACAGGGTCCCCAGGTTGATCAAGATCGTCGGTGCTTGATGCAGCCACCGATGCAACTCCGGGTCCTGTGTCTTGACCGGGGCAACGGGCAACAAAATGGGGCCGCAAGGAAGCACATTGTCGGGAATCTCCAACGGCCAGTCCAGCTCTTTCAAGCCCGGAGCCAGATGGAACCGATCAGGTCGCCACGAATCCGCAAAGGGGAACCGGCCCTGGATGCCATGCCGTTTCCTCCACTCGCGGATCTGTCGTTGCCGTCTGCTGCGACGGTACATCTTGGCGACCCCCATGGCGGCCCTAACGTTGGACGCAACCAGGCTCCACGGAAGTGGGTAGGGGAAGTCCGTCCCGGGCCTGGCGCACGTCAGCCGCAACGCGCAGAGTCATCGAGGGGCAATAAAAACTTACAGGGGAAATTTCCACGCCCATGCACCGTAAGGCTGCAGTCCGTACACCACGTGCGCCACCGAGGTCGTATAGAGCACAATCGCCTGGTGGCCCGCGTTGTACGAGGCATCGCGTCCTTGGGGAAAGAAGCAGTCGACAAGGACGACGGTGGGATCTACCGCGTGCACTATCTCGAGACAGCTGTCATACACCTGGAGATACTCCGCCTCGTTCCAGGCCCAGATCTCCTCGAACAGAGATTTAAACCCTTTCAATGCACCTTCATAGCCGGGAGGATGGCAGATCGTCCGCTTTCCGGTGCGTGCGAAGGCTTGACTCAGCGAAGGCCCTTGGATCGGGTGGAAATGGAGCCTTGATCGGACGCCGTCGCTGTCCAGGTTGTTGTCGGTAAGCAGCTTCTCAATGCGCGGTTTCAGGATCGGAAAGGAGGCGATGTGCACCTCGGTGTCCCCGCGCACCAGCAACTCCTGGGACAACGCAAGAACGAGGTTGGTCTGGCCATGTTCACTGTTGGCAAGGAAAAGCACGCGGGGTCGTTGTGATGGAAGTGATGGGGTCTTCTTGCGCGTGCTGCGCCGTCGCAGAACCGGCGCTTGCTTTCTGGTGGATCGGGACTTCTTCATGATGGGTAGCCGTATGTGCGTGCGTGGGTCCTCACTGCATGTGCAGCAGCAAATATGGGGGACAACACGTTCTAGCCAGAGACGGAGTGCACCGGGGGAAGAAGACTTATATGGGGAGTGTCAATCAAGGAGGTGCATGGCTTGGACGCAAGGTTGACAACGAGGAGGAATGCTCTTTGTTTCAAGGGATGGGAAGGGGATGTCATGATGCAGGGGAGAAGAAGAATAAGATGAAGAAGAAGAAGAGGGGTAGAGAGGGTAGTAAGCATAAGCCGGATGATAAGTCTGAGCTGATTTTTGAAATATGATAGTCCGATGATGGATGGAATTTCAGTCTATCTCCGGATCCCTGGACGTTTGAGGAGATCTTCCCCAGAAAAAGGGAATGGATGAATGCAATTTTCCGTCTCATCATCCAGACTCATTCAAACCCAGTCAATCCATTTAAATTCAGGCCAAGGCCGGACTATCAGGGGAGGTGAAGATGCCAAGGGGAAATTCGCAAAAAGAGGACAAACAAATGAAGCTGGCTCTAAAGCATTAACTGATTTAGAATCTAGCCCGGTTAGTCATCGCGCTAATCCTCCATCATTTTCCCCCGCCTCCCAAAAGATCTACATACAATCAATCATCTTCCAACCTCACAAGCAGCATCCATCCTTCTCTTCATCTAAGATTCAAACAGTCATTCGCTGATTGACAATTCCCACACCCACACTCAGCAGACCAACTCATCTCCAATGCCTGAAGCAACCTCCCACCGCTCCAAACCTCGTCCCACAGCCTCCTGTCTCCCCTGTCGCGCCCGCAAAGTCAAAGTACGTTTGTTTCCCCTGGTTTGGTCTTGGGATACAACCAAGCATATACTATTTAATCCACCACCCCATTTTACCTTCTACTGCCACCCCATATCCTCAGCAGTAGATTTACAGTCTCCCATCTTGTAGCCCCCTCACCATCATGGAGACCCCACAAATAAACACTCAATCAATCAATCAATCACCCCTATTAGCACATCACATCAGAACTGGGACCCCTTCCCCCAGATACATCATTTCCCTGAATAACCCCTAATGAATAACGCCAGTGCAACCGCCTCACCCCTTGCGCCACCTGCGTGGCCCGCAACACCCCGCAGGAATGCAAATACGCCGCCCCCGACACGGACCGCCAGGCGATCGCCCAGGCGGAGCTGATCGCGGGGCTCCGGAGCCGGGCGAACCAACTGCGCGACCAGCTGGTCATGGCGCGGGGGCTGCAGATTTTGGAAATTGAGGAGGAGCAGGAAGAGGAGGAGGCGCATCATCCACAACAACAACATCGACAACAACGACAACAACAACAACGGGAACTACCAGAGTCCGATAGTGAGCCAGAAGAGGAAGGGCAGTACGCCCCGATTGAATGGGGCCACGGTAGAGGCACCTCCGCTAATGGGGCCTCGAAACGGAGGGAAGAGGACCAGTTGGCGGAGTTGGAGGTGGTGTATGCGGCCCTGCGATGGGGGACGGGTGCTACCGTCGAGGAGGTGGTTCGCAGGATTCGGAGGGGGGAGCAGTTGGGGGATATTGCTCAGGGGGTGGAATTGGGGATGGGGATGGGGATGGAGTCCTCGAGATTAGGGGATGAAGTGGTGGTTCTGGATTGAAAACCGCTCGTGTACACTAGAGGTGATAGATAGAGGGAGGGGGGAAACATTGAATCGCGCATCCTCGCATAGTCTAGTTGTCATTGTCATTGTCACATTGCAATACAGAACCATCTTCAGTGTTGCACATTGATCGTACAGGGCGTTGGTGGTGCGAGCTTGAAAGTTGAACACAGCAGCTCCCGTCGCGCAGCCACCCGCCGATGGAAACCAAAACCGCCAAACAGGGCGATCGAACAGAACGCAACAGGTACTCCCAAGGCAATTACCGAGACAAATGGTACAACAAACAGAAACGCCCGAAACTCCGTTCTTCTGGAAAATCAGCACCCATAAGAGAGGTCATCCCCCGGGTTAGAGACACGCTGCACGGCTTTGGTATCCAGCACACTCGTCAGGCAATCCATGAGTTCGAAATCCTCGACCACCGCCCCGAAGCCGTAGCAGCGGACCTTGTTATTGAGAGTTTCGATAATTATCCGGACGTCGTCCCGGGTCAGTCGACCATAGAGTTGGTGGTTTTTGAGGCATTGCAGGGCCATGATCGGCGTAATCTGCCCCTCAGTCACCAGTTGTCGACTCAGATTGAGGAGTGTCGTCAGATTGACATGGGGCAGGTCGTATGTCTTGTGCGGGTACGTTTGCTCGTTCGTGGTGGTGGCAATGTAGCTGGGTGGTGGGCAGGTGGCCATCAGCGCATGCCCGGAGAACGGCATGTCTTCATCGTCCGCCTCGGTGATCGAGCGTCGGCAAAGGTAGTCGGTATGTTCTCGACAGGGCGATTCCAGTCTGGAAGAGCATTAGCCGCCCGTGCTCAGTCACGAAGAAGCGCACTTACGTCAAGATGAAATCGATTTGTAGCTGAGGGTCCGCCTCAAAGATGCCGGGCGGCTGGATCGGGGACCGGCTCGCGGGAGCGATCTGATCGAGAGTGGCCAAGGCGTCGCAAGGACCAACCTGATAGGCTGAAGAGGACGACGCCAGCTCCTGAGTGGGCGAGACATCAATCTGCTCGACTCCATTCGTAGTCGGACTCAGGCTCGCGGAGACCGTTGTCGGCGGCGTGGTGTAGACGGGCGCTCCGGATGGGGCGATGTTGCTCGGCTGCGAGGCGACACTGCTGCTGGCGAATGGACTGGAGTGATAGCCCATGCCGGATCGTTCCAATTTCCGCCGCGCAAGTTCGGGCTCGAAATTGATGCCATTAGCCACGAGGATCTCCTTCAGGATTTTGTTTTCGTCGTCCAGCTGTCGCACCACATCCCGATGCTGTACCACCGTCAAATTGGCGGCCGAAATCTCCTGGGTGTAGGCCTCGCGTAATCGAGACACTTCGGTCTCTAGCGACCGAATATACTGTTCCTTGCGTTCCCGATGGGTTCTGCGCCACTGGTTTGCATACAACCAATAATTCCCAGGCGGGGCCAGATACGTACCTCTGGGCCTGGCGATTCAATTCCTGTCGGCGAGTCATGGCCGGTTTGCTATCCGGCTTCGGACCTCGTCTTTTCGCCGGTTGCCCATCTGACGCAGGGGGGAATTAGAGATGGTAACGAGGACGGATCGGACCGTTGGCTCACACACCTCGCGTGATTTTCTTCTGCGTACCACCAAAGAATTTCAAAAAATCTGCGCCGATGGTCGAGGGTCGAGATCCAGATTGACCTGGTGATTCGCCAAGTTAGATGCGCGACGAGGGTGAGATGCGAAAGCGAATACAAACAACATGAATGATTTTCAGCGCGCGCGGACCAAAGGAACTTACTCTGTACGCTCTGGCGGTTGGCATTTGTGAGGTCCAAAGGCATGGGCCTGCCGTTCATCGAGGCCATGACAGTTTCGTAAATGCGACCGGCGCAGTCAGAGACGGGAGACGGGGAGGAGAGTGCGTGTAAGAGGATGAGGAAATGAGTGGGTGAGAGTGGAAAGAGACGGAGAGAAGTCGAGGAATCGCGCACAAAGAATGACAGAATTAGAAAGTGAACTGAAGACAGACTGGATCGATCTGAACAAGTAGAGCAACAAATCCAAACTGGGCCATCTGAACGAGGGTCAGCCTTAAAAAGCGCGGCGCTGGGTTGGAAAGCGGGTGGATGCTGGCTGACGTCCAAGCGTTGAAAGCTTCCGATTCCGCGCATACACGCAGGGCTTGTACCTACCCAGACACTGGCTGTGTTTCCCCGTTGAGGTGAAACCTCCGTGAAAGTAGTTAAGATAATTACTACAAGGCCAGTAATAATGGGGAACAGATGTGAACAAAGGGTGGTGGGAAGAGAAGAGAAGCGAGAAAGAGAAGAATAGAGCTGAGCGAGTGGGAGAGTGAAGAAGAGTGAGAAGAGGGGAGAGTGGAGAAGGAGAGATTGGATGGATGGATGAATAGTGGCAAAGGTGACAGACAGAACCTTTGAACTGGACTGGACTGGACTGGACTGAACTCAACTCGATGGACCTGAGTCTCAAGCAGAGTAATTGGCCTTCATTGCTTACAATCAGGACTATCACGGATCCAATGCATGTCTGTCTATCGGGGAAGTGCCGGGGACCATTGAATAATAACTAGTTGATTAGTAGGTGATTAGTTAGTATCCGTAGCTAATTGCTAGTGTTGGTCAATTATACGTGATTACTTCAATCTTTCTCCCACCATCAGATCCGATCGCCTCGGCATCTCCGCCCCTCTAACCCAATGGACCAAACTCAAGGGTTACCATAGGATGCTGACAGTCTCCATAGCATCATCGTCCCCCTCTCTCTCTCTTTGCAATCCAAAGGAAGCGAACCGTCAAGTGGAGCGGGAAGGTGGATTCGATCGGCCAAAGGGCAAGGGAAATGAGTTCATTCTGGATGCATTCTGCCGTGAAACGCCAACCTGTCTCGCTTGTCACTCGGGGATGCAGCCGGCTTGACATCTCAGAAAATACCGGGACGCCTGTGCAACATCCCATTATTATTTTTGGGACTGTATCTTTTTCCTCCCCCTCCAACTGTATCTGTTGACTGTTCCTGGTTGGCAGGTTCCCACTCTTGCTATTGTCTCTCCACCGAGTCCTTATCCTAATCAGACCCATTTCTTGATGATTCAATCTAATTTATCTACGAGTAGTTTAGTGCCCCCCATCCACGGAGGTGCTAGTATCCGTTGCGATCCATTAGTGGGAGGAACCGCAACACTTTGTTCGATGGTTTGTGGTACGATTCTCAACGCTCCGGCCGAACTGCGCCATTATTGGGGGCAGTTCGAGCCCACATCCACCGGGTTTTCAGGTACATCGCAATCCCGTCGTGGTGGCTGCAAGTGCAAGCTCGGAGGTGCTTTGACAGTTTTGACTCCGTCCTTTTGCCGATTGCATCAGTCCCGGTCGACTCAAACCCCCTGCAGAGGCGCCGGTAATTCGAAAGAAGCTGTATGCACTCTGGACTCTGGAGCTGCTAGTCTCTTGCTGCGTCTCTTCCCTACTAAGCTGAATAGCCACATAGCGAGGAGGATGAATTGGCCGGCCACCTTCCAGCCATTGTGCAGCACGTTTCGGTCGAAGATCGCATCCGTAACAGTTAATGTAGTCTTAAACCATGCTAAGGCAGGCAAACCTTATAATATGACAATCGGCAAGAAATGAAGCTGAACAAGTTGACAAATAAGAAACTAATGACGATCGTCGGGAACGAAATGGTTCACGCCGTGAAGCTAGTGTAGTTGGGAATGTTGAGTACTTCGTACCTTTGTCTTCGCTCCGCTCTTCGACGCTGAATAAAAGCCGAACAACACCGATCAAGTGGGAAGAACTATTGAAAGCCTAAGGCTGCAAATGGCCTAGACGGGCAGGCGGCGAGGCGCTCGGCTCTTTCTCCGCCCTCAGCTTTGCTCGTCTCTTTCCAAAGCCCAGCTTCATCCCTCCTCGCAACTGTCTGCAACATCTAGTTACCCTCTTCACCATGGTTGGGCAAGAAGGCTGACGGACTAGACGACAGACAGGGGATTCTCATCATGTGTGCACCGAGCTCAGGGTCATTGTCCCTCCGACATCATGCCCGAATCCGAAATCCTCATTCACATCGCCGCCCCCAGCACCGTCCGTGACGATGCACGCTACCGTGCCCAGGTCGAGGCCATTCTTGCATTCCAGGCCTCCACTCGCCAAGTGATCACCTTGCGGTCGGACAAAGACCATGCCGACGATAACAACGTCAGTGCGCAATCTATTGGCTCCACAACAGCATCAGGTTCGACTGCGAGCACCGATAGTGAAGGGACCGGCGTCGATCATGAGCTCGACACGAGCGCCCCGCAGATACCTAGTTGGCAACCGGAGACAATACAATCCTTACCCCGATCTTCCTCCCCTGCCCGCCAAACTCAATATGTCGACTCCCTTGGGACGCCCATCAGCGTGGTTCCAGACTCGCAGCCTGGACAAGGACAGCAGGACACCCTTGCCTTGCAGGAAATCGCATCTCCCGTCACTGCCACTTCACACGCTCACAGATCCACGGGCGCTACAACCGAAGCTCATACAGTAAAGCGAAGCAGCGTGGACTTGTCCGCACCGGAGAGCGAGGAGCACGACAATCTCCCGGGCCGCGTTCGAGACGAGGCCCGGTCCGCGCCGCCCCAATCCGATCTCGCCTTGCAGGAGCCCGAGTCTCCTGTATCGGTATCTCGACGGAAACCCGTCCCACAAATAGTGGACGCCCCTCCCGCGAAGCGCAACCGGGCTGACCCGCCCCGTATACCTGAAAATGGGACGAGTGACAACCCTCTAACCCGACGGCAACACAAGCAATCTCGCAAGCAATCGCGACATGACAACAAACCAAGCACATCACCTTCCCTTGAGGAGTTTTCCGTTCATGACACTCCTGGGCCGGATGCGCCCTTCTCGACGGAGAACACCCTTGTCACGACGCCTGTCAAAATCCAACCGCCACTGCCCCCTATCTCCAGATCGCCCTTTGAATCCCACATTACCCCAACCCTCTCCATGCTAGTGACGCGTCTCCGCTCAGGGCGCACGTACACTCCCGTCAAACAATTCCGAGACCTGGACGCCCTCGAGCGCGGATACTGGTTCCTGCTCATCAACCTGGTTCCAGACGACGCACCCCTATCAGCAGCTGCAGCAGGTGGCAGCTCCATCAACACGCATACAATCTGGGATATCACCTTATTCAACCGGTTCTGGACCTTTCTATCCGAGTTTATCTCCGAGGGTCGCGCGGGGTGGGGTGTATGGTGTATTCTCGAGGACGCTCCGTCACCAGCACCCCTGCAGCCCGGGAACCGGGCCACCGCGTCCGCGGCTACGCCGTCTAGTGGCACGGAGGTCGCGACGCAGCGCTTGACCCTCAAGGTCTACGCGTGGGGGGAGGTGGCTTTGCATGTCTATTTGCTGTTATTTCTAGCCAGCGAGCGACGCATCCGACGGATGGGGGCGCAGTGGCGCGATGGAGGTGATGTGGTGATTATAGAGATGCCGTAGTTGTGTGATATACCAGGGGATGAATCCCTTTATAACTGAGTATATATAATCAACGCTTGATACCCATGCCCACAGGTCCTGGACTGCATAGACTCTCAGTCACAATAGCTCCTTCCACAGAATCATCCTTTTGAGCGGAGGTCTACTTGATTCTCGTGGTAAGGTTATTCTGCCCTCAGGCTCTTCCGAGCTTCGTAGCGGCACCTCTTTAACCTCCACTCAATGCCTGGGATACATTTTACACCCACCCCATTCCCCAAGGAGCCGAGCAAATATGTTCTCCAGTCATACATGAATGAAGACCATACATGGTCTACGGAGAGCCCCTTACGATGATAAAAGACTAGATCAGGGCTCACTAACCCTCCAGGCTCTTCTTACCGGCCGGTCCATCCATCCATCCTTCCACCAGCATAAACCCAGACAAAATCGCCGCGTAGTCCAGTCCGATGTCTAACGTCTGGAATGCTGCGGACAACCTCCAGCACAAGGGCACCCAAGTCGGCACCACCGAGTGCAATGCCTCAGCATGCGATAACCGCCAAGCCGAAGTTCTTCATCAGTTCAGTGTCAGTACAATTATTGAAGTGCACGGCGCACCTTCCCTCGCTATCCCACAATGAGCAGTACCAACTTCACAGATTCCCACCTCGCCTAGCTGGCTCAAACTCAGCTCCCCAAATGATAAAAGATCTCATTAAACCACGTCTCGAAATCCACGGTATCGGTACCCATCAAGCCGAGGCTAGACGGCGAATCAGTCGGCGTACAGGTATCATTTGGACAACCCGAAAACACATCGGAGAGGAACGGTGCTGGTAGTGTTGTTTCGGTGGTGGTGGTGTTGCCTCCTCCGTGTGGTGGACCGTCCGCTGCTGCCTTTGCCTGCCCGAAGCGAAGTACATCCGCTACCGCGCGATAGAAATCGAGGTCCAGGTTGCCCTCTGACGCGAAGATCGCATCAATAAGCGCAACGCCTCGTTGAGCGAGGATATCGCACTTTTGCTCCGCAAGTCGGTTGCGGGCTGCTTGGATTGCGAGGCGGAATTTATTGGTCTCGTGGATCGCGCTGTTGGTGTAGTTGGTGTTATTGTTGTTGGTGGTGGTGGTGGTGTTGCCGCTGCTGCTGCTGCTGACTTCAAAGCAGAGGATAATAGCGGCGGTAATACAGAATGCGGAATGCGTCCAGACGAAGAAATCGCCCTGATTGATGATAGTTTCATGCTCGCGGAGGATGGTCAGGGCGGCAGCGACGCATGTGCGCCGCGTGTGCTGGTACTTGGACGCCGATTGAAACGACAGGAACAGGAACGGGCGGTGGATCATGATGATCTTCTCTGCGGCGGTGATGGCGAGGCTGCGGCGCGCGATGGCTAGCCACGGGATGTCGAGTTCTGCTTGGGGATCGGGCTGGAGGAGGAAGGCAGGGAAGCCCTTGACGACGGCGCGCATGTGCTGGTCCAGCCGCAGGACGTGGGTGTACTGCTCGCGGAGGGGTTTCGGCTGGCTCATCGCACCCAGCCCGTCGATCAGGGAGGGCATGAGGTCGGCAATCTGGCGCAGTGCCCGCACGTAGCTGCTGACGGTGGGGACGGTGGACGGCAGGTCGGTGAGGTCGTAGTCGTCTGCGTTCCGTGGGGGAGCCGTGGAGTACTGGGAGGGCGAGATGCTGTAGGTATCGGTGAAGGGGATGGCGAAGTGGTCTTGGATCACCATTTGGCACCACACCCTCTTCCCGACTTCCCGCTGCACGGTCTCGAGCCATGCTTCTTCGCTGTCGAGCCCTGCGCCCCCGTTGGGATGATCGCGGATTCGATGGACCCCGAGACACTCCGCGATGCGGACGGCGGCTTTGAACAAGGTGGCGTTCAGCTGGCTCCGGCCTAGGTTATGGGCGATCTCCGTGGAGATCACGATGGCCTGCAACGAGTAGATCGACATGTCCTCGAGGAAGTGGCCGGTGTAGAGGGCTTCTAGCATGGCGGTCAGGAAATGATCCGCCGGAGGCAGCTGGTCTAGGTCGACATCGACGGCGGCCTTGGCCCGACTGCTGATGCGCATGGCGAAGATCGTCGCTCCAAGCACCGAGAGGTAGAGAGCCATCCACAACGGATGGTCGATCTCGCCCGTCCGCCAGAACTTCTCACACTGCTCGAGAAAGGTCGGTGCATGGATGCAGTCATGGTGCCAAGCCATATGACAGAGATGGAACCTGATAAGCTTCTCTGCGCTGGAGGCATCCACACCGAGGCTAGGTGGAGGTTGAGAAGAGAGGAGGTTGGTCTTGACACCCACAGGCCGACTATACTGACATCCGCACTTCAGATGTGGAAAGCACCCGGCAGAGTCTCTGCCCCAGGCCAAATGCTCGATGGCCGTGAGCAGCGATGAACCCTCTGGTTCCACATGGCTCTGTGTTTCGTTGCCTGCTGCAGGCGGCGGCAGTGGTAATTGTCCGGGTGCGGGGGGTGGTTGTTCAGACGATGCTTCCCGGCCTGTCTGAAGCAGGAATATCCTATCGCGGACCGTAGCTATGATCTGTGGGAGCTGCAGAATTGCTGTGCTGGATGTCGTTTCAAGGAGTGAATCCAAATCCTTGGCCAGTGACTCGAGGAACTGCACTTCAGCTCCGTGTCGCGCTGCAATTCGCTGCAGTTGGACTATCTCGCGTGAGCAGCCTAGGCCCAGCCGACTACATCGCGTACAGGGAATTGTTTTGCTGCATTTTCGTTTACTTTTGGTGCACTCTAAAGACATGAGTTATCGGAGGAGCTCGTGTGGACGGGCTATGACAGTGGAGAGAACCAGCACGATTTCCACTTACCCCGACATGCAAGAGGCTGGCGCTGTGATATGCGTCTTGTGCTTGTAGAAGCCGACATTGGCCCTAGTTTGGCGATAATAGATTAGATTCCCCCTACTGGAAGAGAGATAGATGATCATGGCGAGGCTTGAGATGATACGCCGCGGGACAGTTGACGAACTGGCCCGCACAGTGCATGCAATGCGCTGAGTCAGCATACTCGTAATTAGATAAGTTATGCAATCAGTGTGCAGTCTATGTATCTCCAGATTCCCTCACTTTCACAGCTTACTCCATAAGTATATACACTCCCCTTTTTCCAGTCTACTATTGATCATGGCCATCCTTTTTCACAAGTGTGACCGGTCCCTCATACTCCCATCTGCCCTTGACAACGTACATAACTAGACTGAGGATGAAGATAGCCCCGAATATGACGACACTCCAGTTGAAAGTATCAGCTGCGACAGGGAGCTCGCTCGGCCAGAAGGACCAGAATAGCGCGAAGAGAACATAGATCAATCCAGTAATATTCACAGCTAGCCCATAGCGGCCGAGTCCCCAGCGAGCAGGCGGCAAGCTCTCTGGGTGGTACAGCTTGCGCCAGATCAGACAGCTCATGGAGATGGAATAGGAGAACATCAGCGCAGCCACGTTCAGAGACACCACAGCATTGAACGCGGTCTCCGAGCCGATGTTGATCAGGGCCAAGAGGGCACTCAAGACGCAGGTCAGAATCACTGAATTGACCGGCAGCTTCCGCTTCTCATCCACCTTGGCAGTCCATCGCGAGAACGGCAAGCCCAGGTCACGAGCGAAGGAGAATGTCTGCCGCGCGGTGGAGGCGTTGAACAGGATGTTACTGAGAATGACCGGAATCAAGATGATCGCCATCAAGCCGTTGACGCCCGCCGTATCGGTCGCCTGCTTGAAGACATAGATCAGTGGGTAGCCTGAGGCATCGTTCAGAGCGTCTTCCACGGAGGGAGTCGCGAAAAGCATGGTGATCAGGACAATCAAGGCCAGAATGGCATTGGCAAAATATGACCATGTGATGGCGATCGGCACGTAACGGCCGGCATCCTTGATCTCTTCGGACATGTGGGCTGTCGCATCCGAGCCTGCGGGTGGATCATCAGGATGAGGTTCGTTGTACTGCAGGCGCAATTCACTTACTGAGGCAGCCATAGATGGCAGAGAGTTGACCCACCATCACCGTCAACCCCATTGAAGAGAACCCACCGAAGTTCTCGAACTTGGTAAAGACTGCTTCGGCCGACTGCCGAGGCGACAGCACCCAGAGCGAGACGACTATCACTACCCAGCAGAGCACGTGGGTGGCAAGCAGCACATTCTGCATGCGAGCCATGAGACCCGAGGCATACACGTTGAAGTAATAAGCGACGAGGATCATGGCAAAGACGAACAAGGTGCCCTGCCAGCCGGTAGCGTCGTAATTAGGGTCTCTGACGCTGATCAACCCCTGGATGATAGACCCGGTCAAATAGGACCCGGACGCGGTGCCTGCTTGCCAGGCAAGAACCGACATCCAGCCCGTCACATAACTCAGAAACTTCTGATACCTGGCGGGCGCGAACTCCGAAACCCAATGGTACTGGCCTCCGGATGTAGGGGCCCTGAAATGTATGACCATCTGTTAGCCCATCGTGCTCTCATCGTGAACCCGGGAGGGGTGGATGCCTTACATAGAGGCCATCTCAGCCAAGGAAACGATGATGAAGCCGAATCCAACGGTACTCCAGACATATGTCCATAACATCCCTGCCAGTCCGCCATCCTGCAGACCTTGGTAGTTGGACCTGCCATTTCGATGAGCACAGAAAGTCGAGTGGCTCTAGGTGAAGACATGTTACTCACAGCAAGATATACTCCCAAGTCGCTTGCAACACTGCGGAGAAACTGAGCGCTGCTAGAGGACGGATATTCCTCTATAGAAGTAAGATCGCATACATCAGCAATGGAGACACATTCGAGCAAGAGGATGTTGCTGGCACTCACCTTAAACTGCTGGGCCTTACCCATGCGATCCATCTCGGTCATGTCATACCGCGTTCCCTTGACTTCATCCACCTCAGGGCCGTCGTCGGCCTCCATACTCTGGAAGCCGGTCACAACCGGCTCCTTCAAGGTATTCTGCTGCAGATCCTCTTGAAATGCCATGATTCTGATTTTACGCGGACACTCCTGATGCACAACACATGGAGGGAAAGCGGAAAAAGAGAGAGGAAAGCAAAATTTCAAAAGAAAAAAAAGAAATTCATGGCAGCGGCGAGCCGAGGGAGGGGATTGTACGACAGGGGCAAGGTCACGCCAATACTACTTCAGATTTGCCTGAGACGACCGTTAACTTATTGGCGCAGGGATTACGCACGTTAGGGTCGACAAAGTGAGCTGGCGCCGGAGGACTAAAGGGTCTAGTGGCACTAAAACCTTGCCCGCGCACGCCTCGCCTCCGACTAACAAGCGTCCGTCCGGCGGAGCAATTTCTGATCCCTGCACTTCGTCCATCAACAATAAACTACTTGATTAACGTGCTTATCTCCATTAGGATGGGATTAGCCTGTTTTGCGTCTGGTCCCTTCACTAACAGGCAGTCTCAACCCTCCGTTATCTTGATGGTCCACTCGCACAATTAGTGCCCTCGACCTGAAATAGTGAACCGGTGCTAATATGTTAGGGTTTCAGCTAATTAATTGCTTTGGAGGTGGGCAGGAGTTTGCCCACTCCTTATGCAGCTTTGCAAGGATCTACTACGTATGCCACATCCCAGTCAGGGTGCGTCTAGGACACTCGCTCTACGAACGAAAAGCACTCAAAAAGAAAAAAGGAAAAAAAAAAGAGAAGCTGTTCATGACAGGGGTGTGAGAGACGAGGCGAAGCCCCAACTGTCATAAACGTGTGTACCGGCATTCTGTCCCACACTGAAATGCCATCGACAATGCTTGCTAGCTCTTGCATTAATCCACCTCGGTGTGGCATCTCTTCCTCCATTTGCCTGCGTACTTCTCTCTTGAGGGTTGTGTGCTTCTCATGACCTACACCAGCCTGCCGCAGGGGGTCTCCCCCCCGTTTGCGGAGAACAATGCTCACAACCACACGGGGCTGATCATAATCTTCGCCAGCGTATGTCTGTTTCTCACGCTCAGCTCACTTGCGATGCGGATCTACGCCACGACGCAGCGATCGATGGTCCTGAGCGATGATTACCTTCTAGGAGTTGCCGTCGTATGATCGCCTCCCCTCAACTCCATAGAAGCCCATCCACCATCCACTTACCTAACGTATCAAGACAGGCTGTCGCCATCACGCAGACAAGCATCATCTTCTACCAGACTCATCTAGGCTGGGGGAAGAGCTCCGAGCTCCTCGACCCATCCCACACCGAGGCAATGGTCAAGGTACTGTTCCCTCTTCCAGCAGAACCCAGACCTCCTCCACTAATTCCCGTTGGCCACAGAGTGTATACGCCTCCGACCTCCTCTACATCCTCATCCTCGGCCTCTCCAAATGCTGCACCAGTCTCCTGTACCAACACCTCAGCACCCACGCGACCCGCTGGATCCCACGCAGTATTCTGGGTGCATCGATCGTGTGGACGATCGTCGCCGTCATCCTCGTTGCGGTCCGCTGCAGCCGTACCCACCCGTGGACCGATATCAACGACAAATGTTCCGATCTAGTCAGTGTCCTCATCCTTTTCACTCAATCACTCACCTCCCAGCCCAGTGACTGACTGCCTCTGAAAACCCCCCCCCTTCGCTTTCCTTCAAAGCTAATTGAAATAAAAAGCAACCGCACTGGACAGTCATAACAACCCTCGACATCCTCCTCGAACTCCTCCTCTTCATCTACCCCATCAAACTAATCTACAGCCTCCGACTGCGCCGGTCCCGCAAACTAACCGTCCTGGCGCTGCTAGGTAGTCGCGGAATGTAAGTCCAATTTATTTGGTGGTTATTGCGCTTTTCCTTGTCCTTGCCTGTTCCCCGAGC